AGAGGCGAACGTGATGGGCAGGATTGATACACAGGAAGGACCGAAAAGGAAACCTTTGGCTGCCTAAGAAATCATCCTAAGTTTGCAGCGAACATTTTTGATCTGATTCCCTTTTGCATTTATGGAGTTCGCAAACTTCCGAAGCTCGTTTCTTGAGCTGTTTTCCCCTGTTAGGACTTCCAACAACCACAGAATTACGATGTCAGAATCCCAAAACTAAAATCTGACAATATCAGAACCAGAAACAAAAGTGATATGGTTCAAAAGACTAGAAAAGATCGTCTTTGTCAATAGACACATCCCACTGGAAAATCAAACATGGCTGTTTGATGCTCACTTTTTCGGAAAATCCTTCCCAGTATGCACTGCACAATGATCGAAAGTCCAAAATTCGTGATGCATCTATTGTATACTAAGTTCATTTAAATGACCCCACATTCCTAACATTCGATCCACCCGTCTCCTTCCTTAGAAAAGTTACATAGTGCAGCTTTAATTATTTCAGCAAAATACAAAAAAATTCAGTTTGTACTCTTTAGAAAATGTGATCTATTTGAAATTAGACTTGAACAAATGCACTCTAAACTCTAATTTTAAATAAGCATTAAAAAAAAGTACTTCCAAAATTAGACATTATGAATACAGCATAAGTTCCATTTGGATGTATTTTTCACATGTACGTTTGGTCACAGTCTTAGTATATCCATTACATAACATTGTGTATTTGTGTTTGTGAATGCCCCTGGCCTCACTTCCTTTTAGCTGTGGGCTGCTTCCCTTCTGTTTCCTCTTCCTGTTTTGGGGCCAGAGTGACGGGGGCCGGTGGGACAGGGGCCGGTGGGACGGGGTCAGATATCCAGAGCGATGCATTGGTCAAAATCCCAGTGCAGATATTTTCTATAAGCAGCTCTTGAGGTCAGAATAAGTCCACTGTGAACTGTCTACATCTGATTCTAACCCGTTGTATTATCTGATTTTATTATCAGGAAGTACGTAATAGCATGCTAGTTTTGTTGTTTGCTTTATTATGATAGTAAACTGGTTTATAGACTCAAAATACTAAATCAGTATACCTCAAAAACTTGCTTTGCTTTTTGATAATTTGAAGAAAATGCACGTTTTGAGATTAAAATTTCATAAGTTTTCATCTTTTTGAGAATTTTCTACTTTCAGAAGATGCAATATTTAGTTTTAAAGGTGCATTGTGTCAAATACTTTTCTCCGTGGACATGTTATTTCTTTGTCCGTAATGTTTCACAGTATGGCATTAAATCTTTCTATCTTCATGGAGACCAGACCAGACCAAGTTACAGGTCAGATCTGCAGAGAGGCGACCACTCACAGCCAGAATTCTTGTTTTTCTAGGTATTTTTGAGCTATAAAACCAGCTATAATTGAATAAATGTAAGGTAGAACTGTTTAATGTCATACTGCGGAACATTCTAGACAAAGCAATGATATATCTATAGAAAGAAGCAGGCAACGAAACCCCAGCCAAAAAGTTACACAGTGCACCTTTTAAATTGGAGAAAAATAAGGCCCTTTGGCAAAGCAATTGACATTCAGAAACTCATGTCCACTTTTCATTTTTAATCTAGGACTAAAGCAGGATTAAGACCGGACTAAAGCAGGATTTAACTAGACTTAAACTAAGATTAACTCAATATAAACATTGTGTGGAACTTTCCTTTGTGTTGATTTTGTACTGAACGTCATCTTGCTATGCACAGTTAGAGTTCAGCGTTTAAGCTAAAAATACTTGGTGTATATTTGTACTTTTACTTCATGATGTATAGTACTTGTCTGTTTGTGTCAGTAAAAGTGTCTCCCATAGGTGCCGGGTCACATTCCACTCACTGCTTCGACACAACTTGCAGAATGTGAGGTTTTGGTTGACTTTGGTTGAATTCTTCTCCAGGAACAGATCTAAAAAAAAGTCTTCTGGAGAATTCTGGAAAGGTCTCCCGATTGGTCGAAATTCGCCTTAAAATTCAGGAAGCGTCGTGATTGGTGGATTTTGTTACCGGGGCGGTTCGGGCACATTTTTGTCAAATCACTGTGACATTTTGATTGTAGTTTATCTGAATGTTGTACCAATAAGAAATTTGAACTGAGAGGGTTGTACAAATAGTTCCCAGTAAAGAAAAAAAAAAGAATAAATAAAAAGACATCAACAGCTATTGGAAAAAAAATTATGTTTTCATATAATTGTCAATGAAAATATGTGTTAGATATAGGAATGCTATTGAATTTACAGCTTTGTTTTTAGTAAATTTTGGTAACTAGAAATAAAAATTGACTTCCATAGTTAAAAAGCGATTCATTATTATTTTTATTTTTAATGAATGAGCTGCACTTATCCCCGCCCACTGCACCTATCCCCTCCCACTTCAGGAAGTACTCACCGATTCAGCCTAAACTTGTTTATTATCAACAAATATCAATTCACTTTATACTGAAAATAAATTACAGAAAGTTTATAGGTATCAAATGGTCTTTTTTTGTATGCCTGAAATGGCTTTAAACCTATCAATCTCCACAGAGACATATGTTTAATGCAATACTGTGGAACATTTCAGCGTTTGACCTAATTCTGAATAAAACCAATGAAGTTATTAGCCGCCGTGTTTGTTTTGACACAAGTAGACCATGCATTTTTGTGATTGATTTAGGAGAAGGGTGCAGTGTTGGCAGTCCAGGGAAAGGAAGGAGGTGCAGTGTTTTAAGTGTAAAAGAGCCGGTGCTTACGCAATGGCCCGTGAGCAGCACGTGTGTGTATGTCAGCCCTGCACACGAGCTCTCTGCTGTGGGGAAACCTCGCCTCTCCGCAGCCCTTACCACACGCCCTCTATCCTATATCTGTCAGGTGTAAAAGTAGGCTAATAATTTATGGGAGCAGCCGGTTATCCATCCAGTTTCTTGACCTTTTTATGTTTTTATTGGGTATGGCTCTGGGTATGTTGTATCCACATGCCTATGACAGGTTGGACTACTTATTCTACAAAAACACAGCTATGATCATTATATTTAAAATTTTACTCAGAATTTTAAACGTTTTTTTTACTGAAATATTGTCATATCGTATTGCCAAAAGTCTCACAATAATATTATGGGCCATCACAATATATCCAGTTACAAGTTTCTTTGCTTAAATCACGCAGCAACAGCTAAAAAACAGAGAACTACATAGACCATGATCCTTTGCTTTCCTTTGTTTAAGTCCGATCTATATGCTGAAATAACTATGAACTGCTACTAAGCACTTTTAAATCTTAATTATTTGGATTATGATGAGAGAAAAGTAGCATATTCACAATTTAAGTTTTTTGATTTTTTTTGCCTCCACAAAATATCTCAATAAATATCATACCGTGAGATGCATATTGTGAAAATATCATATCAAGAGATTTGGATATTCTTCCCTAACATCACACTACGGAATCCACAACTGTTACCAAGGAACCTTGTGGTAAACGGGGCCAAAACTCCACATAGAAAAATAAAAAGATGAGAAAACACTTTTTATTTTGTTGAAATCAGGTTTAAAGTATCAGAAAATTGTGTTTTGTAAGTATAAATTGTACCAAACTTTTGGATAGCACTCTCCCTGGTGTGTTTAGAACTTTCTACTTCTGTAATTTTCAACATGTTTTTAAACTTTTCTTCACAAATTGCGCAAAAAAATTCTCAATAAAAGTGTAAAACTATAATTTATATTTACAACAGGTATCCCATGAAATTAACAGCACACATATCTATTAATTATCTCTCTGCATCAAATCAACGCTATGTAACATTTCTGGTGCTGCCCTGAAAGTTCCACAGTATGGCATTAAACTATTTTTTATTGCTTAAAACATCTTGAAAAACATGAATTCTTACTGAGAGCAGGGTCACCTCTTCACAGATCTGACTTGTAATTTAGTGATGCCACCACTTGTCTTCATAGGGATGGAGAACTTTAATGCCATACTGTGGAACATTCTCATTCATATTCAAAATTCAAAACAATTGTACTTTGATTTAGACAGTTAATATATAGAAAGGAGAGACACACGTAAAGTTGAAAGGTGAAATCGGACAACCCTGGAGGCAAACAAACAAAAAAGAATCTCCATAATATTTTAACTAGACTTCTATTCTATTACAAAGTATTTTAGTATATATATATATATATTTTTTTATCAATTAATAAAACAAAAAAATCACCACTTTATCCTAAAACATGCCCAACAGGTTTTTAAAGTCCATTCTTCCCTTACCCTAAAAACAAACCAACTAGATTTAGACTCTATTACATTTAAATCATAGAAGTTCCTGAGTTCTGGACAAGTCCAAATTGTGCAATTCACAGCTGTTTCTGCTACTTCTACTTTCTATACCAATAAACACGGAATAGCATCGCCTGCTCTGATTGGTCAGCTCAGAGAATATATAAATTGTGGTTGATTTTTGTTTTTGCGTAAAAGCTTGATCTAAACTGTGCCTAAATTGCTTTAAGTAGTAGTAGTAGTAGTAGTAGTAGTAGTAGTAGTAGTAGTAGTAGTAGTAGTAGTAGTAGTAGTAGTAGTAGTAGTAGTATTTTGGCAGCAGTACTTGTAATTGAGAACATTTTTAGCCATGTAACTGTACTTGAACTTGAGTACAAATTTTAAGTACCCCTTCTACCATGGTAGTATCAGTATCTGTAGTTCTTAGTAGTAGCAGTAAATTTGTAATAGTAGTCGTAGTTGTTAGAGATTGGAAAAGACCCAATTTCCTCAAGAGATATGAGATTGGTTCCACAAGGACATAATTCCTAATATATAAAATCTAAAAAACAGACTAGAGTCAAGTCTTGTATAATAACACAGTACATTGCTACATATAATAATAATATGTTGGTGTGTATGAGTGGGATAACTTTCTTGTATCACTGTCCACTGCTCAGAATGTATTGGATTATAAAACGAGTGGTAGGCCTGACCTCAGTGCCCTGACCGTGTCCCCCCTGTCCCCAGGCTCGTCCCCCTCCCTCTCCTCTAAGAAGCCCCGCAGCGGTGGGCTCTTCTCCAGCCTGCTGTGCTGCCTGTGCCGGGACCAGCCAGAGCCCCCTCCCGTCAACAACAACGCCCCCCTGCTGGAGGAGAACGGGACGGTATCCAAGGTACTCTATCTCTCTGCTTCTGTCGCTGCTTTCTATCTCTGTCACTCTCAGTCTTCATCGTAATGACAAATCTTTCTCCGCACACCTTCAATAGACTTATTTTGATTCGGCAAAGCAAGGCGAGTTTATTTGTGTAGCACAATTCATACACAAAATAATTCAAAGTGCTTTACAGAATAAGAAATACGTTAAAATCACAATACAAACAAATCAAAACATAAATAATCATCATAAAGTTAAAAAAGAGGTAGAGACATTAGCTGAGAGACATTAGCTGATTCATGTTTACGTTAGCCATTAGCCGCTAACTGTCGAAGTCACTAGCCAGGAAAGTGTTAAAATAGAATGTGAGTGAAAAATAGCGGTACAAGATAAATCTAAATAAACATTTTATTTGGTAAATGATATACCAAAATCACAATTGTCAAAATTAAAATTTTTATCCCGAGTCATATGAACTTCTTTTTTATATTGCCTTTTGTTAGAGTTGAAGGTGCATTGTGTAACTTTCTGATTGGAGTCTGTCACCTTCTTGTTTCTATGAATATGTCGTTGCTCTGCCTGGAATGTTCCACAGTATGACATTAAACAGCTCTGCCTTACATTTATTCAATTACAGGTGGTTTTATAGCTCAAAAATACCTAGAAAAACAAACATTCTGAGTATGAGTTGGGTCGCCTCTCCACAGATCTGACCTGTAACTTAGTCTGGTTTGGTCTCCATGAAGATAGAAAGGTTTAATACTGTGAAACATTCCAGAAAAACCAACAACATCTCCATGGAGAAAAGTATTTGACGGACCCTCCACCAGAAAAGTTACACAATGCACATTTAACAAAAGTCATCTCCACACGTCATTGCGATTGGTTCAATCCGTTTGTTAAATCACGTTCTGGCAGTGTCTCCAAACTGCAACACTCACGACTTTTCACATTTTTTTTCTCACCATATTACCCCGCCCTGTTATGAGGTCTGTCTGTTGATTTGTTTATTTATTTGGTTACTTTTGTGTACAGATCCAGGTGAAGCCGCTGCTGCCTCCTGTCAAGTCCAAAGACTCGGGGAAGATCTGTGTGGTCATCGATCTAGACGAGACCTTGGTGCACAGCTCTTTTAAGGTTAGCACGATTTGAAATTTTACACTTGGGAGTTGTAAAATGTCTGCATTATACATTTATTCTAGATGTAAAATTAAAACGTCAAGTTCAATTGTAAGTATAAAGTGCCTTACCGTGCAGTTTTAGGCATTCCTTTTCTCAAATTCAAGAAAAGCAGACAAATAACACTTTCAGAGTAAAATGTATTAGGGGAAACTAGCAACATCTGATTTATAATTTGAAGGGAATTTATTTGAAAGGACAAAACATTAATTAACGAATAGACCACATAAAATCACATTCTTGAGTATTTTTAGAAAGATAATTTGATTTTCAGCCTAAGATTCCTAATTCAACCCACCATGATTATAATATTGTTTTCCAGACAGTTCACGTAAATATCAGTAGTTTTTTCCCCGTATTCTTTGTTAAATTTATAAAGCCTCTCTGTGTAACATTTCAGCCATGAATTAATATTATTACGGATGTTATATTGCTTAAAATAATCTTGGAACTACCATTGGATCTACAGTATGTATTAAATCTTACACAGTCGGAGTTTAATATAGAACCTGCCCCATTTGTTGTCACAAAAGTCCAGTCTAAAAATGAATGAATAAATAAAAAATAGGGGTGGGACTTTATAAAAAAAAATATATACATTACAGGCTTTGTAATTAATGAATCTCAATTAATCACATAACAGTATTTTCTTCCTGAAGCCCATCATTTGTTTAAGTTTGGGCTACAGACACTTCTTATTTGTACTCGGATCAGAACTTCTATCGCCAACAGCTCCAGCAGTTTCTGTGCTCGCTGTGACATGTTTTGCATTTAAATGATATCGTAGGTTTGAGGTACTTCTGTGATATGCAAATTCTTCTCTGCACAGTTTGCAATAAAGGACGCCTTTGTCAATACTTCCATCAGGTAGTTTTTTTTTTATAGAAATGTACCTTCCAGCAGACCCAGAGCGTTTTCATGCTCCATTGTTGTTGTAGTCAGAACTGTGTGCGTCAGTATAACTGGCGTAACATGACACGGTGCACTGACAAACGTTCTGCATTGTTTGGCATGCAAACTAAGATAAAATGCTTTCATATTTTTTATGCATTATTTTCTTTGTAATTAATTATTTGTTAATGTCCCATCTCTAATAAAAAAAATATATAAATAAATAAAATTAACAAAATAATCTAAACCTTTTTTTTTTGTTCCCCCAGCCTGTAAATAATGCAGATTTCATCATTCCTGTGGAGATCGATGGAACAGTGCACCAGGTACGGCTGCTGCTTGTGCTGTCACGATTCAGAATTCACAGTTCTATTTAAAGCGTCGCAAAGTTGGATGACCTCTCCTCTGGGGTCGAGCCTGGTTCAAGTAATCCAGGATAGGTTTGTTCACTGCAGCTCAGCCTATTCCGGATGACTTGGTTCAGGAGCGACGCCCCCTGGCACCAGCGAGGAAAACTACACCTTTACTGTGGTCTTTTTGTCACGTGAAACTGCAGCTTTACGTTGATTTACGACAATACACTTGAACCACTTCCCACCTATTGTTTAATGCTTTTGGTTTTAGTCAACAGTCTACATTACTTAAAGTTGGACTATGCAACTCTTTAGTCACACAGGGGTCTGTCATGTGTTTGTTTCTATGGAGATGTCATTGGTCTGTCTGGAATGTTCCACAGTATGACATTAAACAACTCTACCTTACTTTTATCCAATTACAGGTGGTTTTATAGCTCAAAATACCTAGAAAAACAGGTATTCTGACTTTGAGTTGGGTTGGGTTGCCTGTTCACTGATCTGACCTGTAACTTGGTCTGGTTTGGTCTCCATGAAGATAAAAAGGTTTAATGCCATACTGTGAAACATTCCAGACAAAGCAATGACATCTTCGTGGAGAAAAACATCTGACGGACCCTCCACCAGAAAAGTTACGCAATGCTCCCACAACCGTAATAAGAAGGAGGGGCGGAGTCTGGAGGTATAAAGCTGTGGCTGTAATCAGAGCAGCGTTGAGTGATGTCACATAGTACTTGACATTAAAGTGGCCACACACATAGTTTGACTGTTTGAACACAAAGCTGCTAATTTACTTAAGTTACTTTGCATGAAAATTGCCAAAAAGCACTACTGCTACAACTACTACTACTACTACTACTACTACTAAAACACCATGTACACAGTTAAGTAGCAAGAAAAGTTGATTTAGTTCCACTTTAATGTGTGTTTTTGTATTTAAAATGTTTAACCTATACCCGCTTTCTTAACTTTAGACCATAACTCTAAAATAAAATGTACTCGTATACTTCTCTGACACTTTGAAATGCCCTACACCCTGATCTTGTTGCTGTCTTTGCTCTGGTTGAATCAAGCGCAGCAGTATCAGTATCAGTATTTCTTGGTAGTAGCAGGCGCAGTAGTAGTATTATTAGCATTAGTAGTAGAAATAAATCAGCAGCAGTAATGGTAGCAGCAGGGTGGAAAACAACTAATAAAATACTTGCGTGACCGCGTTAATTGAGTAGATATTTTAGTTAATTCTACTTTTTGATTAGATTTTTAAACATATTCTTGTACTACACGGCTAGAATTATACTTAAAGTCTAAGCTCAGACCAATCAAACCTTACACTTTTTGATTATTTTGGCATAAAGGCCTGATCTAAAATGGATCTAAAATTCCATTAAAGAGTAACTAATACTCTGCGCACATTTTACTTATACTCAAGTACAATTTTGGCAGGGGTACTTATAATTTAGTACATTTTGAGACCGTGTAACTGTACTTTTAGTTGAGTTCAAATTTTTATTTGTACTCTTTCCACTGTACCACTGTTGATGTAGTAGTAGTATCAGTATCTGTAGTTCTCAGTAGTAGCAGCAGCAGTATTAGTAGTATTAGTAGTAGCAGTAAATCAGTTATAGTAATGGTAGTAGTGATGGGATGAGACACACACAAGAACATAATTCCTAATATATAAATTTCAGTTTCCAATTTTGGCCAAATTTCTGTTAACAAGCCTGGTGGTAGCAGTGGTGATAGTGGTAGTGGTAGTAGTGGTAGTAGCAGTAGTATAACAGTAGCAGTAGTAATAGTAGTAGTATTGGTAGTGGTGATAGTAGTAGTATTAATAGTAGTAGCAGTTGTAGTAGCAGTAGTAGTGGTGGTAGATGCAGTAGAGGCAGTAGTGGTATTGATGATAGTTGTAGTAGTAGTGGTAGTTATGATAGTAGAAGTAGTAGTGGTGGTAGTGATGATAGTAGTTGTAGTAGTAGCAGTAGTGGCAGTAGAAGTAGTAGTGATGATAGTAGTTGTAGTAGTAGTGGCAGTAGTAGTAGCAGTAGTGGCAGTAGTAGTAGCAGTAGTGGCAGTAGTAGTAGCAGCAGTAGAAGTAGTAGTGGTGGTAGTGATGATAGTAGTTGTAGTAGTAGCAGCAGCGGCAGTAGTAGTAGCAGTAGTGGCAGTAGAAGTAGTAGTGGTGTAGTGATGATAATAGTAACAGTAGTAGCAGCGGCAGTAGTAGCAGTAGTACAACAGTGGCAATAGCGGTGGTAGTAGTAGTAGCAGTAGTATAACAGTAGCAGAAGTACTATGAGTATTTGCCTTGCTGTATCTTGTGTGACTGTGGATTCCTGGCGCAGGTGTATGTCCTGAAGCGGCCGCACGTGGACGAGTTCCTCAAGAGGATGGGCGAGCTGTTTGAGTGCGTGCTCTTCACCGCCAGCTTAGCCAAGGTACGCTAATAAACCATCTCCTCCGAGCGACGCGCTAACACCCAGGAATGTGGATCTGCTGCCATGTATGCTAAAGCTCCGGCAGACTGCACCGCGCTCTGGACTCTTGAACCTTGTAAAAACTTGCAATGCTGATTCACTGTTTTGCATGGGATTCAAATTCAAAAAGTGTTGTTTTATGGGATTCAAGGAGTTTATGAAGGTAAAAAATAAGTTAAAGCACATAATGCCGGTTAGAATACTTAAGCTTTTACACACTACAGCTTTTGTTGTTAACATTCTCAAAAACAGACCTGGAATTGTGTTTTGTTTCATTCACACATGTTTGAGTAACTCTTTATTATTAGTCTGTCTACATCTACAAAGCTCAAAATGCTCTGTTCCACCTTGTGATGTCATGAAGTGGTAGTTTTCAAGTAGAGGTTTGCACAGGACATAATTTTCAGTCCCGCTCCCTCCCACATTTCCGATATTTTGTCCCGCTCCCGTCCGCAAGATGAGGACGTTCGCTTTCTTAAACTCTATCAAACACGGAGAAGCGGAAATGAACTGTCTAACTGTGCGCAAGATCAGACCATGTTCGCAAATTTAGGCTGCTTAAAATGTTTTTATTAATGCCAAATAAAATATCCAGCACAAATGAGGTATGATAGGCAAACATGAATATACAGTTGTATATTTTACTTTACACTGATATTTAGTTTGTGGGACTGCAGTTTATCATCCCACCCGCCTGCTCCTGCAATGAGCTTTCAAAATGTGTCCTGCGCCGCACTGTTTTGTGTCAGGTCCCACGAGTGCAGAGCTTTATTTTCAAGTTAACAGCGACAATTGATGTTTCTTTCAGTAGAGATTTAGACTTAGACTTAGACAAACTTTATTGATCCACAAGATAAATTATCTGGACATAATAGCTGACACATCACAATATAATATAATAACAAAGAGTGACAATATAAATGGTAAGAATAAATTCTAAATAAGTAGCAAAAAAGTAATGTAAATGTAAATGTACAAGTCAAAATATAATAGAAAAATAAGTAATAAAAAATATAAAATCACAGCTTTATACAAGAGGTCACAGGAACAACAATATAATTATTGACTCCTTGTTAAAATAAAGCCCTACCTCCCCCAGGCGGAGTTCGAAAGAGCGATCCATGCTTTTGTAACATCACCTCTGGACTATTGCAATTCTTTGTATGTAGGGTTGGACCTGGGCTCCTGCAGCACTTACAACACGTCCAGAACGCTGCAGCTCATCTGCGGACAAATACTAAGAAACATGAACACATCACATCTGTACTGTGTCACTGCACTGGCTCCCTGTCTTATGTAGGGTGCCATTTAAAATGCTATTAATTGTTTTCAAATGTTTGCACTCTATGGGTCCAGTCTATTTGAGGGAGTTACTGCAGCCCTATACTCCCCCCAGAGCCCTGAGATCAGCCGACCAGCTCCTGTTGGTCATACCCAAACTTAGGCTCCAGACGAGAGGTGACAGAGGCTTTTCTATGGCAGCGCCCGGACTGTAGAACAACCTTCCTCTTCCTGTCAGATCCTCTCAAACTGTAACACAGTTTAAGACTAGACTGAAAACTCATGTCTTCTCCCTGGCATTTAGTACGAGCTAGTCAGATTATCTTGATGTTTTTACTGTAGTTTTCACATGTTCTCTGTATATTTGTATATGTAACTCTTTCTTCTATTTTGTTGACTTATATGTGAAGCACTTTGGTCAGCTGAAGTTGTTTTAAATGTGCTCTATAAATAAATTTGAATTGAATTGACAGGACATAGGGTTATCTGTTATATCAAGGTGAGATGTTGTACAGTTGTAGGGAGTATTATCTGTTACATAAAGGTGAGTTGTTACACAGTTGTAAGGAATATGGTATGAATATAGTTCTGTATCTCTGAGATTGGCAACTCCAAGGCTGAAATCATTCAAATAATTCTCGTAAAGGTCTATGGAGTCTAAAAACACAGTGGAGCACTTCCTGTATTACCACATGACATCACAAAGTGGAACAGTTGAGTGTTTTCAGTCTGAGAAAAAAAACTCAGCCTAAATTTGCAGGGTTTTTGTGTTAAACGTGTAAATGAAACAAAACACAACTATATGCTATACAAATTTAGCCTAGTGTAGTGTTTGATTGTGTAATAATTATATCTGTGTGTAATTTTACTTCCTCGTTGGACACGGGCAGTAAATATGACACATGTTGAAGTCATTCCAAAACTGTTTGCAAGGAACCAGTGTTGTCATGATTCTAAAATTTCAAACTTTTCAACTCAAGGAAAACTTATATTACTAGTACTTTTTATTTAGATAATAGAATGTGATTAAATAAAAGTAAATAATAGTACTTTTTGTTCTATTCCCATGTGGTTTTATATGTGTGTAATCCCTCAGTGGTCCAGGTAGGTTCCATACTGGTTCATGGGCGTATACTAGTCTGTGTGCTCTTATACATTTTTTTTTCTAAAGCTATTCAGGAAACTCACCACGACTTCCTGTATTTTCGCACTTTCCTTTTCAACACAAACTGCCGCTTAACTGATGTAAAACCGCGATAAGCATTTCCCACAGGTAGTATCCCACCAAGCCGAGCCAGAATTAGAACAAAGTGAAAAACCTGTCCTGTCTTTCCTCCGTCAGTATGCAGACCCAGTGTCAGACCTGCTGGACAAGTGGGGGGCGTTCCGCTGTCGTCTCTTCAGAGAGTCCTGCGTCTTCCACCGGGGGAACTACGTGAAAGACCTGAGCCGGCTGGGACGAGACCTCAACAAAGTCATCATCGTGGACAACTCGCCCGCCTCCTACATCTTCCACCCGGACAACGCCGTGAGTACCAGGCCCATTCACACTGGAACTACCGCTGAGGGCAATACTGCTATCAGATATTTGCCCCAGCTCAATAAAAACTGCTTATATGTCCTATATTGATTGAACTTTTATCTATTGATACTTTGCAGCTGATGATATCAATATTTCCTGGGGTTGTGACGCTAACTATAGGTACTACTCTCTCTGAAGCTCTGTTACTCCAATCAGACTGTAAGGCCCCGTCCACACTAGTACATATTTGAGTTGTTTTAGTTGCGGATACAGTGTTCGTCCACACTAATCCGATTGAAAACAGCTCCAGAGACAGAACAATTTGGTGCCACCAGCTCCCACGAATTCATCTGAGGACGGATCTGATCTCTGTGGACGCCTGAAAATGCTGATACGTTGATGTAGGTTTATGCGCCACGAAGTAATTCACCGCCAAAATGAGGTTAGAATATATGTCCATTCATATATACGGTCTATGTGTATGACCTGCAGACGTATAATCTCTGAAAAGTTTAACATGAACCATCTCCAACGCGATAGAAGCACAGAACAGACTCACCATCAGCAGAACACCTCTCTGTCACAGAAAGAACACTCATAATCCACTGAGTCGTGTCCTTTAATCCGACAGAAGCTGAACCGCATCAGCGCACAATAACGAGCTGTTTTTTTGAGTGCTCAGTTTATGCAAATTAGCCATACGGTTTTAAGTTTAATTTCTGTAAAATGTAAACAAATATGCACAAAGTTATGTGGATAGGGAAGGATTGTGGACACAGAAACGATGTGTCTGGATGCAAATCGTTTCCAATACGGTGATTTGTGTCAGTGTAAACGTAGCCTAATACAAGCTTTATTTTTTGAAGATGCATTGTGTAACTTTTTGGTTGGGGGTCCTTCACCTTCTTGTTTCTATAGCTATGTCATTGCTCTGCCTGGAATGTCCCACAGTATGACATTAAACAGCTCTACACTACATTTATTCAATTACAGGTTTTGTAGTTCAAAAATAGTTGCAAGGAAAACAGGCGTTCTGACTGTGAGCGGGGTCGCCTCTCCACAGATCTGACCATAACGCCATACTGTGAAACATTCAAGACAAAGCAACAGCCTATCTATGGAGAAAAGCATTCGATGGAACCTCCAGCAGAAAAGTTACACAATGCAATCTGACCATAAAGAATTGACTAACAAGTCCCTATCAATAATAACAGACTTTTGAAAATGTGCAGTTTAAATCCATTTTGTCATTTTTCTTGAGTTTTCAGGTTATCTTGACTCTTAGCTAATGTGTGCTTTTTGTCTCCATGGCAACTGCTGAACACTCCAATATATAAATACATGTAGGACACCCCCAACTTGATGTCACTGCAACATATCAATAAAAATAAGTACTGTGATAATGCCGTTTGCTTAGAATGTCTCATATTGACTGAACTTTTAACTATACAAAGGTCTTTTGTAATCTCTTGAAGGATACATAACAACTACATGACATTAGTTATGTTGAATGTTGATTGAGTTTTAGAGAAATAACAGTTGATCTTTGCGTTGGTGTTGGTAGATACGGAAAGCCTCCAAATATTAATATCAGAACTGAAAAGATTGATTAGTGTTGTCAAAAGTATCAAAAATCAGATATTAGTTGATACTAAAACTGATATTGAAGCTAAATACTCATTTGAACGAGTATCGATGTTGTAAAAAAGCAAATTCACAGCACAGGATTTGAGCTTTCCTTAACAGTTTTAGTATGATTTTTAGCTTTATTAGTATTTATATGAAACCTCATTGCTAAGATAAAGAAAGAAGTATTATTTTTGACAACACTACCTCCTGTATTTGTGTAAGGGTTTATGTCTGGGGGTCAACTTAGCCTTTTAAATGTACATGTTTTTGTTTTTTTTTTACATGTGATGAATTTGGAGCCATGTTCCATATTAGGAAAAGGAATTTATTAACGGACAGAAGCGCAAAATAAAAACACGAGGATCATGTAGAGCGGGTTAATGCGGAAGCTTTAAGACCAAAATGATAAAGCTCACTTCCAAAGCAGCAGTTCCAGAGAGAGGAGCGATCATTTCTCAATGTGAAGTCAATTGGAAACAGACAAAATCTCACATCCTCATTGGAACGCGGAGACTAGCCGGTTTGCTATGTCCATTCATATATACAGTCTATGATTCATGCACTCTTAAATGTCATGTCATGTGTGAACGATTTGCACTTTGCTCCGCACTGCACCGTGTACTGCATAAACCTTGAGTACATGGTGTCAGTAGGATTTTGAGGACATTCTTGTGTCATGCTATGTTGTTGTTATGTAGGATCTTGACTGCAGTCTTGCCTCATGTACTGCGTTTGTTGATTATGATCTTGAATACTCTTTTGTCTGACATTGTTTGTTGGTTAGGATCTTGAGTACAGTCTTGTCTGTAGGGCTATAGACCTTTAGTTGTTTAGTTGTCATTCTTTTAGTTGAGTAATTACTATTTTATTTAGATTACAAGGAATTATGTGAGACAGCAACAGAAAGGAGAAGAGCATGAGGGAGTTATCTGACACTGGTATTTTTTGCGTTTTATATCCAAAAAGCAGGGCATCCGTCTCTAACCTTTTTCCTCTGGTGAGCTACTTTTACAAAACAAAAATGCCAGGGAGCTACTTGTTTTAGCAGTCACAAGAAATGGAGCATATATAAAAGAGTTAGATACCTATAAAACAGACCGTTATCCATTTATTAGAGTACAAATTTAGGCATCAAAATGATACATGTACAATGGTAATCGATATTTATTTTATCAAATTTTACGTATTCAGGACAACACGTCCAGATTCTGAAGCTACTGAGCTACTTTGAATGGGGTGGAGAGCTCCCGAGCTACAGGTTGGAGACCCCTGAAGCAGAGTAACCTCATGATTCACCAGTTGACTCTGTCCTTATAGAAATGTAAATACATTGTTCCCTAGTACTTTTTTCTACATAAATTGTAGTTTTTGCATGAGTTTGTGTCAGCTACACAGAAATACGGAATAGTTTTGAGATCTTTTTTCACGCCCCTTTTTAGTCGACTAATCGATCAGCAGGACACGTCTTCAGTCGGTCGATCACGGCCTTATCTGTCTGATGGTGTATGCTTGTTAGTAAGTAAACAGTCAGCTTGTGCGTCAGCTAACATGCCATCTGTAACGTCAGAAGCTCAAGTTGGATATGGCTACTACAGTATGTTTGTCGATAAGGATCTTGAGTACAGCCTTGTCTTTGTGTAGCATTTGTTATGTTTGTCTGTTAGTATGAGTCTGATGGTCTGATATTTGTCAGTTAGGATCGGATCATGTCGGATGATTGTTGTTGTTTTTTTTTATTACTATAATCTTGTCTGATTATTCTTATCTTATCTTGGTCTTGTGTCTGATTACGTTGGTCAATGAGACTCTTAAGTACAACTTGTCTTATGGTTTAATTTTTGTGAAGGATCTTGAGTACAGTCTTCTCTCATGTAGTATTGTTGTTTTCATTTGTTATGTTTGTTGGTTAGGATCTTGAAATAAAGTCTGATGTTTTGTTTGCCGATTAGGATTGTGTCTGATAGTTGTTTTTCTTTTAGAATCTTAGAATCTTCTTGAGTACAGTCTTGTCTTCTGTAGTATGGTTATCCTTTTCCTTTGTTTTGTTTGTTGGTTAGGATCTTGAGTAAAGTCTAATGTAATGTTTGTCGATTAGGATCTTGTCTGATGATTGTTTTTCTTTTAGAATCTTAGGATTTTCTTGAGTACAGTCTTATCTAATATGTTTACCCATAAGGATCCAGTGTATAGTCTTGTGTCTGATTATGTTTGTCAATGAGGCTCTTAAGTACAACTTGTCTTATGGTTTAATTTTTGTGTAGGATCTTGAGTACAGTCTTCTCTCATGTAGTATAATCATTTTCATTTGTTATGTTTGTTTTTTAGGATCTTGAGGTACAGTCTTGTCTCGTGTAGTATTATCGTTTTCATTTGTTATGTTTGTTGATTAGGATCTTGTCTGGAGGTTGTTTTTATTTTAGAATCTTTGGATCTTCTAGAGCAGGGGTGTCAAACTCATTTTGGTTCGGGGGCCGCATCCAACCAACTTTGATCCCAAAGGGGCCGGATCAGAAAACTCATGTCACATAAACCATAAAAATAACAATAAGTTCAAATATTTGTGCAAATCTATTACAGAAATCTTTTTTAATTGATGAACTCTTTCTTATTATAATATTTATGAACAATCTGAAACTTTAAGAAAAATTCTATTTCAACACAATGTTTTAACATTAACTTGTATGTAAACAGGAATAAGTCAATTTTTCTTGTAAAATCCTGCACTCGGCTCCACTTTTCTCATTTTGGACATTTTGCTGATGAGGGTGTCACGGTCAACAGTCAAAACGATCGTCCTTTAAGAGCGTTTGGAAAGAGACAAGTCTTCATTTGTGCTGCTCTGGTGGGAGGGGCCACACACAGAGACGCTGGAGACGCTGCTGTGATAAACACCACAGAAAATTACCAATATTTTAATAGAAAATATAAATTAAAATATTTTTGTAGAAAATCACCCAAGGGCCACATTAAAAGTCTTGGAGGGCCGGATCTGGCCCCCGGGCCTTATGTTTGACACCTGTGTTCTAGAGTATAGTCTTGTCTCCTGTAGCATGGTTATCCTTTTCATTTGTTGTTTGTTGGTTAACCTCTAGTCTGATGGTGTTTTTTCTTTTAGGATCTTGACTACAATCACTTATAATTGTTTGTATCCATGATCCTAATGGACAATCTACAGAAAAAAAATCATTTGTATCAACTGGACAAAAGTTTTTTAGTGAAGACTTTTCGAAGCTCCTCCAAGCAGCTTCTTCAGTTCTGGTCAAATTGCCGTTGGACACCGTCTTATGTTACGTTTGTCGGTTAGGATTTTGTCTGATGGTTGGTTTTCTTTTAGGATCTTGACTTCAATCTTTTCTGATGGTTTGTTTTTTGTTTAGGATCATGAATTCAGTCTTGTCTCTTGTTACGCTTGTAGGTTAGGAAGTCTTTAAGCTCTAGAATTTCAAGTACAATATTGTCTTATGTTATGTTTGTTTCATGTTTTTTGATATTAAGTTTGTTGGTTAGGATCTTGAGTGTTGTTTTGTCTTGTCTGATGGCACGTTTATCTTTCAGGTTCCGGTAGCTTCCTGGTTCGACGACATGTCCGACACGGAGCTGCTGGACCTCATCCCGTTCTTCGAGAAGCTCAGCAAAGTGGACAACGTCTACACCGTGCTCAAGCAACAAGCCACGCCCCCCAGCTAACCACCCGGAACTACACCGCCACCCCGAGGCCGGCCGCAGCAACTACAGGCTCCTCACTGCCACAAAACCAACCCTCACAGCTGTCCGCCATCTTGGAGCCTTACGAGACTGCTCATTTTATCGCCTACGTTTTTAGTTGTTACCAGCTAATTCTGGACTGGTACCGATCGCTGAAGTGAACTGTTCTGATGAAATAGACCCAGGGGAGTTTTTTTTTTCCACGAAGGTTTACATGCAATAAACTTTTGGAAGATTTTTTGAAACCTTTCGGAATAGCATTATAAGAATCACACTATATTTGAAATTCGGGTTGCCTTTTTAGCGATTTTTATCAAGGAAAAAAAAAAATCAGTGTTAACGTGATCGGATCTACAATTGGACAGCACTTTATGAAAAAATCGTGCCTTGTTTTGAGAAAGGATGAACCAAGATGGCCGCTGGTGGCTGCAGTATTTTCTGACACTACATCAGCACCCAAAGCAGCTGCTACAGGTTTTGGCTGATCTCCTTGCCATGTTTTTTGGTGAACATTTTGGGGACCACGGCTCTTCTCCCCGTGTCCGAGCGACCGTGGGGCTAATGCGCCTTCACTGTGGAGTCTTTCTAAAGCTACAGACGAAACTTGAACAACCCCGCGAACTGAGAATACAGGAGACATGACAGTTGGGGCACGGACAGTAGAAGCAAAGTGATCCAGAATTTCTACGACTTCTTGAAGACTTGGTGCAAACTACAGAATTGAACTGTTTTTATTGTTCAAATAGGTTGGGTTCACGTCAAAAACATCAAAACATTCTAGAATTTCTTCAGATTAAACTGCGCTTGAGGACAGGTCAGAATCTTCAGGTGGAATATTCTGCAGAACTGTTTTTGACCTGGTTTATGGTTCTTATCTCTAATCATCGGGCTTATCCACATGAAACAAACACTGACTCAAAAGTTCAACGTCTTCTCTGTCAGCATAAATAAACAAAAGTGAAATGATTTTTTTCACAGTAGCTTTGGAAAGTGGTGCCATTTTTCAACCCCAGAAATGTGATTGTTGTCAGTGGAAAGGACTTTAAGCCATGAGACGAATATAGCAAGTTTGTGGAGTCTATCCCAAACAAATAATGTACAATGTGTGTGGATTTCTGTGTTGGATATTTCTTCCAAAAAACATAAAATCTCTCATAGAGTTTTATAAAGGCCCTTGCCCACCATCTGAGACCATATTAAATCATAAAGTTCTAGTATGTGAACACAACCTATTGACTTAGATTCTGATTTAGTAGTTAGTTTCTTTTTGTATTCTGTGTCTTTCTGGTATCATCAAAAGGTCCTACAGTGTACTCTTCCTCAAGCAGTTACAGAGAGGTATCCAGCGTGAAGATGTCTGCAATCAAAACGGTCAAAATGGTGACAGAAAAATGGTTAAGTAGGCCAAGAGTTGTGCAGAGAACGTGCAAGAAAAGTGTATTTACCCTCAGTACGGAACCCAGAGACGTGAACACTCAGTGCTTTGTGATATTGACCATCCAAGTCTGCCAAAGCTTCCTTTGTAGGGAGTATTATACCTTGGTACAGCAGTGCAATTTTCAGATCTGAGGAACAGACTGGCAACTGAGCAACTGGTAGCTGTAAAAACTTTACTACAACAGTTCAAATCAACTTAAAAACAATTCAGTCCAAGCATCCTACAAGACAGGAGCTGGACAGGCTGGTGAGTGACTCGAGAATACAAGCATCATGAATTTTGGACTTCCGGTCATTGTGCAATGCATCCTGGGAAGGATTTTCTAAAAAGTGAGCATAAAACCGCCATGTTTGTTTTTCACAGTGGGATGCGTCTATTGACAAAGCTGATCTTTTCTGGTCTTTTGAACCATATCACTTTTGTTTCTGGTTCTGATATCGTCATATAGCGGGATCCCGTTTAAGTGACAGGTGCAGAAGACAAACAGACTGAGCTGCACTTTCTTGTTCTTGTGGTTTTACAGCAACATCATGTCTTCGTCGCTTTGTAGTGGAAGGTGTTGGCAGCAAACTCAGGATGATTTCTTAGGCAGTCAAAAGTTTCCTTTTTGGTCCTTCCTGTGTATCAATCCTGCCCATCGCCTTCGCTTTTCACTGTTTTTCAATTCCGTTGGGAAGAGAAACAGTCTGAACGGAGGTTTGCAGTCACGCAGATCTGATTCCCTTTTGCAGTTATGGAGTTCGCTAACTTCCAAAGCTCATTTCTTGAGCCGTTTTCCACTGTTAGGATCCAACAACCACACAATTACAATGTCCGAATCCCAAAACTAAAATATGACAATATCAGAACCAGAAACAAAAGCGATATGGTTCAACAGACTAGAAAAGATCGGCTTTGACAATAGACGATAGAATAGAATAGAATTCATGATGCATGTATTGTTTTCAACAATTTGGAAATGAGCTCTCAAAGTGTAAACAACTTTGGAAAGAAGAGGAACAGTGGCTCTACTCTAAGCTCCTAACACCCCCCCTCATCCGCCACGATCACACTCATCCTGTTACCTGAACTAGCTGTGATATCATTTAAAAACACTCACGCGTTGTCACATTTTAGAGCATTACAATATATAGGTAACTTAAGAATAACTCTTGTCTCTTTCCCAAATATGGCCATCACTTCCTCCTGCTGAAGACGTCCTGGATCTACTCTTCTTCTACTGTCTGTTTTTATGTTTTTAGTTCCACACGTTTTGAAGCGGTACATGTTAAAACCAATGTCAGTATGTGCCACACAGAGCTGCCTTCAAGAAGACTCTCGAAAAGTCTGCCATGTTTGTGAGCTCGCTGCCTACCCAGATGCCTTCTGGGTAATGTAGTCATGTCAAGCTAAAGTGGAGTTACACTCAACTTTCTATTTTTATTTTAACTTTGTGCATCGATTTTAGTCCCTTGGAAGCGTTGACAATATTTAGACCGTTGTGAATGAAAATGGTGGATTTGACAAAGCAAAAACGAAAATCAAATTCCATCATGATAAGAGTTGTAACATTATTTTTCTATATTTAACAAATTGTCAATCAAATTAGCATGTTCCTTTTTTTTCTAAATAATTACCGAATTAATTTTTTTGAGTGAATTTAATGTATATAATGTTTTGAAAAATGGTTACTTCCTGTTTGATGTCATAAACACCAGCAAAAAATAGTACATATTGATTCATGACAGGGTAAAAATGACAAAAATTGAAATAGTGAAATCTTAAAAACATATTTATAGGCGCCATGTTGTCACTAAGAGCCCACCTTGTTCCGCTCACACGTTTAGTAGGTGTGTATATTTTGTTTTGCACAGTAAGAAACGCAAACAAAAGTGGTTAATATATGGATTGTTCATGTTACTGTACTCGTGATTGAATAGCTGTAACCTAATTTTTTTGACCTGTTGTTTTATCATACCAAATTATATATATATGTGTATGTAATAATGCCATTTTCCTTCATCATAAATGCTAAATCAAAGATGGCTGCTTCATGTTGTGATTTTCATTTGGGGTGCACGGTCTGCTACCCGAGAGGTGAGCCCGCACACAGAACAAAGAACATTTTAAAAAGGAAACTCGATATATCAAATTATATAGCTAATAATTTTGAAATGCAGAAAAGTCACATCTGTCTATATATATCTATACATAAAGGATATATATATATATATAGATGTGTATGTATATATGTGTGTGTGTGTATATAAATTTAGATGGTCACATTTTTATACAGCACTTTTCCACCTTCATGCCACTCAAAGCACTTTACAACAAGGAACCACTCACCCATTCATCACACACTCATATACCAGTGTATGCGGACACTGAGGGTGAGGTGGATTAAGTGTCTTGCCCAAGGACACAACAACAGCATTCATCTGTGGGAGCTGGAGACACCACCAACCTGCGGGTCAGCGGAGCAGCTCAACCAGTGATGTTTATGTCAAGAGCGGGATTCAAACCTCCAACCTGATCTGTGGACAAACACTTTACCAACTGAGCTACTGACATCATATGTATTTATAGATATATAAATGATCTCATCTCTCATCTCAGAGAGTATTTATATACATAGGAATTGTGGTAACAGTCCACTGTGTTATGTCGCCCTCTTGTGGTAATAAGCAGAGGTGAGGACTTGCAAGTCGTGACTTTTACTTAAGTACTACTACTTTAGTAATTACTAAAGTTATTATTTTTAGGACTTGACTTGATAAAATGGATTAAGACTTGGGACTTGACTCGGACTTGAGAGGACTTGATGCTTCTCCCCTTTTTTGGTTTAAAGACTTGAAGCTCAAAGCAGATGACTTGGACTTGACTTGGGACTTGATTTGGACTTATGGGCCAGTGACTCGAGATTCGACTTGGACTGAAAGTCTTGGACTTGGGACTTGACTCGGACTTGATGCTTCTCCCCAAAAATATATGTTTTTAGAAAATACTTCCTCTTTACAGTTGGTACATGAAGTGAATAATTTTAAAGGAACACACTGGAACATGTCCCTCTCACTTCTGTTTGTTACAAAATACACATATACCACGACTTTTTAAGTGCAATTTGGTTTAAAAGTCATAAATTGCAAAAATCTAAGCTATATTTTGTACTTTTTTTTGGTTTAAAGACTTGAAGCTCAAAGCAGATGACTTGGGACTTGACTTGGACTTATGAGCCAGTGACGTGAAATTCAACTTGGACTAAAAGTCTTGGACTTGGGACTTGACTTGGACTTATGGGCCAGTGACGCGAAATTCAACTTGGACTAAAAGTCTTGGACTTGGACTTGACTCGGACTTGGGACTTGACTCGGACTTGAGATGAAAGACTTGAAACTTGCAAAACAATGACTTTTTCCCACCTCTGGTACAAAATGGGTACTATACGACAATTAATAGTAATTTTATGAATATTCAGTGCATTTTTAATGACTTTTAAGACATGTATACAGTATATTCATTAATTTAACCTTTTTTAAATATTGGTCAGTTTTTCCTATTGATGCTGATGATTATTATTAATTGTAACTATAATTATAATAATAATTATTATTATTGTGCTTTGCCGTGTAATATCAGAAAGGTACATTTCAATTTAAAGGAAAATGTATTTATTTTAACTGCATTAAATAATATTGGCCTATAGAATGTTGATCTCAAACCAGACAATAAATTATGAAAAATATTTTGAAGTGAAATAAGAGCTTAGAAAAAGAGTCCACAACAGCTTGTACAAGTGATATGCCATTTATTTCAATATTCTCACACAAGAGTCATGGTCAGATCAGCCTTCCTTCAGCATCAGTGCATTCAGAGTTCAGCAATAGAACCAGTCAATCCCAAACGGACAAATCCCACGTCCTCGAACGCCTCGCCAGCACTACAGCAAAACCACACACACGATAATATACAAGGGTCGTGTACGGGGGTCCGCAGAGAGAGAACGAGAGAGCGACATTAAGGCACCTGGGCAGGGAGGGCTCCACCTGCTGCTTGGGAAAAGTATTACACATGTACAGGTCACAGTATGAGGTGAAACACTGCCACAGCCCCACATTCTTCTATCTACAAAACTGCTCTAAAAAAATTTAAAGCAGAGGGAATGGAACACACAATAATACACAAATGTGAAGTCAGTATTTGGTTAAGAGCTTCTGTTTGAGAACTTCAATTCATGCATTTAGATCATCCAGTTAGTAATTTAGTATTTGGGTCCAACATGCCACTAAATATTCAATTACAAGTTAAAATTTGGAATTAAAGAAGGAAATTTTGAGTAGGTTAAAAAAAAAAAAAAGAGAAAACATTACAATGCCATTTCATTCATTAAATTTCATTCTTTCATCCATTTTAACTGGATTCACAACCTGCCGTTTCCAGTGGTGGAAAGTAATGCAAAGTACAAAAGTAAAAGTACTAGTATAATAGTAGGCTTATTTAAGTAAAGTGCAGATACATAAACAATTACTTTACACATTATAATTTACAGTAGATGCTTTTTAAATTGACTTTACTGCATTTAAAAGCAGATATTTGTACTTTCTACCCCAAGATACAGTATGTTTGAACTGAACGAACAAAAGGACAAAAGTAAAGTGTAGTAAGTGTAGTATTTTTCATTATAGTTTGAGACTGAAACGAATGAGATTTATTTATTCACCAATTTAATTTGATATATTTCCATCCATTCATTTTCTTCTGCTTATCCGGGGTTGGGTCATGGGAGCAGCAGTCTAAGCAGGGACTCCCAGACTTCCTCCACCCCAGACACGTCCTCCAGCTCCTCCGGGGGGACCCTGAAGCGTTCCCAGGCCAGCGTGTCCTGAGTCTTCCCCAGGGCCTCCTCCCGGTGGGACCTGCCCGGAAACACCTCCCGACGGAAGGCTACTTTTTTATTTTATATATGTGTTTGTGACAATTATGGTGAAATCCTGTCTTAAGGAGTCGAGTTTGTGACAAAATCATAAATAAAAACGTCACTTTACTCGAGTATTTTACGGTTTTGCTCGTGTACCTGCACATTTACTTAAGTAATATAATTGAGTACTTGTTCCACCACTGGCTGTTCCATAAAAAGGGGGATAAACTGTAAAATATCACAATGAAAAAACGCTGTGATTCGCAGATCATTAAAATAATGGTCGAAATAAACAGCTGCCTCGGGGCTACTGCAGAATCTACCCGCGATAAAGACTTAAAGATAAACCATGTAACCTTTCTGATAGAGGTCTGCCAAGTGCCTGTCTCCATGGAGATGTTATTGCTTTTGCCTGGAATGATAAGCTTCTCTTCTCTCTCTTAAAAAACAAAAAAATAAGAGGCTGCTCACAGTAAGAATGCATGTTTGTCAAGATATTATTTCGGCATAAAAACAGAATTGAATAAATGCGAGTGTGGAACATTCTAGGCACAGCAATAACATCTCCATGGAGACAACTAAATTGTGGACTCTGGCAAATCCTTGAATACAGTCTTTATTTTACACTGTTTTGGGTGGAATTGGAGTAATAGTTGAATTAAAAAAACACATGTACGTAAACCATCAGACAGTTTGAGGCGGAGTAGAAATGAAAGCGGAGGACGTGAGGAGCGGACATCGTTGGGAGCAGGTCTTAAGGCGGCTGGGTCGGGTCCACCAGCTCCTCGCCGTGGGTTAGAAAAGTACAAAAAGCCCGCGGGGGAGGGGGAGAGCGGTCATGGGTAGCTCCGCCTCTGCTCTGCCCCTCCCCTCCGGCGGCGTGCTGCGTTCGGGGACAGTCAGTGCATTCCACACGCGTGCGCTCTCGGACTCCGCCTCTCCGTCTCAGTCTACAGCATGGGTGTTCGGAGTAACGCAGCCGGGGAGACTAGGATTTGAAAGAGGAGTTTTTCCAGAGTGGTTTGTGGTAGACCCAGCCTTCACCCTAGAGGAAAACACAAAAACTTCAGTTATTCTGTGGCAGTTACTTGTACATGAGTAAAAATACATACTGTAAACTGTAATTTACTTTACAACTTTTTGATAGTGATGGTGTAGTCTTAGGCTGTGTCCAAATATCCACCCTAGCCCCTAACCCACAGGTGTCAAACATGCAGCCCGGGGGCCAGATCCGGCCCTCCAAGACCTTTAATCTGGCCCTCGGCTGATTTTCTACTAAAATATTTAAATTCTATTTTTTATTAAAATCTTGTTAATTTTCTGTGGTGTTTATCACAGCAGTGTCTCCAGCGTCTCTGTGCGTGGCCCCTCCCACCAGAGCAGCACAAATGAAGACTTGTTTCTTTCCAAATACTCTTAAAGGACGATCGTTTTGACTGTTGACCGTGACACCCTCATCAACAAAATGTCCAACATGAGAAAAGTGGAGCCGAGTGCAGGATTTTACAACAAAAATTTACTTATTCCTATTTCTACAAGTTAATTTTAAACAAGTTCATGTTAAAACATTGTGTTGAAATTACATTTTTCTTAAAGTTTCAGGTTGTTCATAATATTATAATATTTTGTAAAAGAAAGAGTTCATCAATTAAAAAAGATTTCTGTAATAGATTTGTGTTTCTCTGCACAAATATTTGAACTTATTGTTATTTTTGGGGTTTATATGACATGAGTTTTCTGATCCGGACACTTTGGGATCAAAGTCGGTTGGATACGACCCCCGGACCAAAATGAGTTTGACACTCCTGCCCTAACCCCTCATTCACTACACAGTCTCGCACTCTTTAGCGCCCTCTACAGAGCACTTATCCACAGAGAGATTCAGACACTCAGCTCACTACTTTGGGGTGATGTGACTCTGGCGTCTGGGTGAAAAAAAAGTCTGCTAAACACAGATAAAACTTGATTTTTGTCAGAAATAATGATCAGATCAGACACAAGTGTTTATGGACTAATAATAATCATACAAGTTTTTGTCAAACAGTGGAAATGATCTAGCCTGATTCATCAGCCGTTTTTACTTTGTTTCACTTTGTAGAAACCGTCTGCCCTCGCAGCGTTAGAATTCGTTCACTCGACAGTAGGCGAGTACTTTTTTCATTTAATCAGTCGCTGTTATTTGGTAGTCACGTATGTAATGCACCACTAATGGGACTAACTGGTATATTAAGCTTTTCCCAAATCCCGTAGGAAGAAGAGCAATAACGTCTTTCTCTTTAATAAAATTCACCAAAAATTCTCTTTGTTCCAGCTTTAAATCCTCCATCTCGGGAATTGCTGACAACACAGAATGTCTGGCTCTTCACTTCTTCTGGAGTTTTTGCGAACCGTCTATTGTATTTTGATTTCTGACCTAGTCGCTGGAGAGAAATTAAATTCAGTGGCTAGAAATGATCACCATAAGGCTTTATTATTATTTAAAAGTGTTTAATTCATAATCAGGATGAACAGTGCCATAAACCAGGGCTTTTATCTGCTTCATTCAGTCGCGTTGTGTCCAGTTAAACACCTGTCACTGAACGCCTTGTTTTCCCGACTCTCTCAGTGCATCATGGTCTATATTGATCACCATGCACTATTTTTTCACCATCTAGTCATTTGGACACCCCTAAAAATAACGTGACCCCTAAATAGTGCACGAAGTAGGGAATAGTGTGAACATTCTAACACAGCCTTGGATTTGAGTAGCTACAACAACCGGATGGCAATCTTTGTTTTCTTATTTATTTTCAAATAATAAAAATAATAAGACAGACAACAAATAATAAAAATTTTGTCTTGTCCCAGTAAGAAAATGACACTCCCAACCACAACCCTATTAGACTGGTAGTGGTTGTTAGCCTTACCATGCTTCTGAAAACTGCAAACACTGTTTAGAAACTCAGTGTAGTGAGTAATTAAGATGCTCTGAATACTTAAAGTGAAAGAGGAATAACATTGGACCACTGTAAACTCTTTTTCTGTTCTGTTTTTCAAGTTTTAAGGCCATAAAAATCTGTTATAGAGCCTTTAAAGGTGCATTGTGTAACTTTTCTGCTGGAAGGTCTGTCAAATGCTTTTCTCCATGGAAATGTTATTACTTTATCTGGAATGTTTCACAGTTTGGTATAAACCTTTCTATCTTCATGGAGACCAAAACAGACCAAGTTACAGGTCAGATCTGTGGAGAGGCGACCCCGCTCACAGTCAGAATGCCTGTTTTGGTATTTTTAAGCTATAAAACCACCTGGAATTGAGTAATTGTAAAGTAGAGCTGTTTAATGTCACACTGTGGAACATTCCAGGCTGAGCAATGACATTCACAGAAACAAGCAGGTGATCGACCCTCCACCAGAACATTTACACAATGCACCTTTAAATGGTATCTGTTTAATTATGTACCACAGACTTTCAAAATGCAAAGTCTAATGTACGCGCAACTAAAATGTAAATAATATTGTGTAGCTGTACCTCTTTCTCGAAGTATCTGGTCCTCCATGGGGTCTGGGTGTCTGCGCGGTGCCTCTCCTCCGTCCTCTGCCTCTCCTCCAGGATCCTCTTGTGTTCTGTGGCTTTGTCTATGTCCTTCTGCCTCAGCGCTTCTGTCACGTGCTGCCACAACCGCCTGGCAACATCACATACATAAAAGAAAGATCATGTTCATACAGGTTGCACTCACGTGACATCAGAAAATTCAAGTATCTCTGTAGTTTAACTGAGCTGGAGGCTTTTTTTAACTGTCAGATTGCAGATTTATTGTTTATGACTTGTTTATGGTTCATATCCCTGTAATTACCAGGCCTATCCACATGAAACAAAAACTCTCACAAAGCTCAAAGTCTTTTCTGTCAACATAAATAAACTACAGTGATGTTTTCTGTAAAAACAGCTCCAGTGGTTCCACTATTCAACCCCAAAAATGTGACTGCTGTCAGATGAAAGGACTTTAAATCACAAGGTTAATAAAACAAGTTTGTGGAGCCAGTCCCGAACAAATAGTGAGAAGGTCCAACATTTGGAGATTGTAAGTGTGAAGAATTTTTTCAAAAACAGTGAATCTCCCACAGAGTTGCAAAGACTCTTGCCCGGCATCTGAAATGACATCCCATGACCTCAAATTCCACTACAAATTCCACCTTTTTCATTCAGCATATGTTGTCTTTCTACTACTAGTACTTCCTACATTTAATATACAGACAGAAGAAATGAAATATATGAAGTAAAGTATGAAGTAGAATTATGTAGTGAAGAAAAAAAAGGTTAACTAACTCAACATAGAAAACAAAATGTTTTTATATTCAAATTCAGATCCTCAAAGAATCCACCCTTTGTTTTGTTGAGTGCTGCAAACCCTTGGCTTTTCCTCAATGAGCTTCTCCTGAAACGGTTTTCACTTCAAAGCTGTGCCATGTCAGGGTCAAGAAATGCCAAACATGCCAAACATTCAAATTCTAAAACAAGTTGAGTCATTTATATTTTGTGTTTTGTTTACTACATTCCACATGTGTCCTTCACAGTTTCGATGCCTTCAGTGAGAATCTACACAGTAACCATGAACTAAATGGAAAAGTACTGTGTATCTGATGTTGTGTGGGTGTATTTCCGTGCTGACCTGGACTCGGTGGGGCCCTGCTTTTCGATGGGCCTCACCAGCTTCTTGCTCACGGGGAGCCGGGTCACGTCCACCACGCGGGTCTCTCCGCTCGGGTAACTGAACTCCAGCGAGCCGTTCCACTCGCCCTGCACCCGGCACGCCACCGCGTTTGTGGAGTTGTGCTTCACCTCCGCCGTCACCCTGGAAACACAAACACACGTGTAGTCAGATTTATGGTAAAGTCAGAATCAATGTCTAAACTGCTAAACTGGTCCCCCCAAAACAAAAGAGGGGCGGGGTCTGGAGGACTAAAGGGGAGAGTGAAGGGGGAAGCGGGGCGGGGTCTGGAGGACTAAAGGGGAGAGTGAAGGGGGAAGAGGGGCGGGGTCTGGACGTATAAGGAACAGTGTGTTTGGTCTAACAGGTGTTTGCACTTCAAACTCTGCCCCTGCAGCCAGCTGTTTGTAAGCAGTCCTGCGTGATGTTATGTAGTACTTGAAACTGCAGTGACCACTGGAGGCAGCACACACACTTTTTGACAGGACTTGACGCAAAGCCGAAAATGTATCTAGTTTGCACTAAAATGGCCAAAAAACAATAAAAGGAACAGTAGAAAATGCTCTTAAAACTCCATATACACAATTTAGAAGTAAAAAAGTTGAAGTTTAAGGTGACCAGTTATCAAAGAGACCGTGTTAGTAAGATAGGCACCTGCACAAATTGTGGGCACAAGAATAATGCAAATAGTATGATGCAAAACAGCCCACACAGTAGATAAATGTTGTTTGGTTGACAGATAAGCCGCCTGCGATAACAACTTTTCATGAAAACACAACCAAAAATAGAGCGTTAGTGTTTTGCATACGAAATATTGTAAGAATCAACCTAGTGTAACTGTTTTTGTAGCTGTGTGTGAACCTTGTGTGACCACATGAGCACTCTCCCGTGACCCCATGTGTTTTCCAGCTGACTCAAGGTTAAACAGTAACCACCACATGAAAGATACTGTACTGCACTGTACTGTGAAAAATAAACTATAAAAGTACTGTATTTAACTTGTTGGTTGGGCGTCTGTCACCTACTTGTTTTTATAGACCTATCATTGCTCTGCTCGGAATGTTCCACAACAAAGCAACAAAACAAAACAGCTCTACTTTACATTTATTCAGTTACAGGTTGATTTAGAACTCAAAAATACCTAGAAAAACAGGCATTGTGGCTGTGAGCTGGGTTGCTTCTCCACAGATCTGACCTGTAACTTTGTCTAGTTTGGTCTCCATGGAGATAGAAAGGTTTAAAACCAAACTGTGAAACATTCCAGATAAAGCAATAACAACATTTCCATGGAGAAGTGTCTGTACTTTACTCAATAACATGTGGCTACTTGATACTTTTACTTCACTACATCTGAGAGCAGATATTTGTGCTTTCTTTTCCACTTCATTTTTAACTGGACTGAAAAGTAAAAAGTACATATACAATTTTAGGTGGGTTTTTTTTGTTTTGTTTTTGTTCTTTTGCACATTCATGAATTTTAAAAGTTTCTTCGGTCCAATCACAAACTGACCAAAACGTCTCATACACCTGCTTAAATATTTACTATGTGTACATTTTAATAGGGTACTTCAGTACTTTTAGAATTCTTCATTACTTTTACTTGAGTAATATCAATTCTGAACCAAATGTGGTCATGCCTGTGTCCACCACCTTTTTCCCCCTTTCCTTTTCTTTGATATTGATATATTAATCCGTACTTGTGCAGTTTGCCCCCGTAGAAGGGTTTGGTCTGGAAGGTGATGACGGCCGAGTAGCCCGTCTTGGAACAGTTGATGTTGACCTTCCCCCCGAGCTCCACCCAGGGCACAGTGAGGATGGAGCGGGCGTAGGCACAGGGCAGAGTGAACGTGTACTCCTCCTCATGCTCCAGCAGGTGGAGACAGCCTGGCAAAGCACACAAACACTAATGTGAGAACTACACAAGCACACTTTAGGATGCCTTCATCTCAATATAATGTTCATGCATATGTAAGGAAACATGACATTAGCAACATGACATCCTGTGTGTATATAACATGTAGAACACAGTAAACATAAATCAAATAGCTGAATGAGAGGGTGTGTCCAAATTTTGACTGGTAATGTAAAACAAGTACCTTCTCCGATCATGGACACCCCAATGGACATGCCCATAAACTTGCTCTTGGTCCACACGTGAGTATTGACACACATCTTCTTATCTGGACATTCTGCGTAGAAGCCGGACACAGGGGGGTGGTGGGATACCTGCTCGGCCACAAAGCGCACAGTGTGCGCCCCCTCTGGCCCGGGCTCACACTGCGATGACTGGGAGGACTGGGACGACTGGGAGGACGGGGGTCTCTTGGGCACCCTCCAGGAGCAGTGGAAGGTCTCTCCAATGATGGGGTTGTAGGGCTTCTTGGCGATGGCCCCCTTGCGTCCCTCGTGGAAGGAGGTGAGGTAGTACTGTACGAAGCGCACCATGCGGTCCTCTGGGCTGTTGCCATCGGCGATGGACACAAACAGGTCTGGGTGAGACATGAAGTCTGCATACATCTCCAGCAGAGAGCGCTTCTCCAGGATGAAGGTGGGCAGCACCACCTGCAGGGACAGGGACATATGGGACTCATGCTCAGCAGGACAACAAGAGGAGTACTTACTTGGGGAAATAAAATTTGACTCTCTATAAGGAAAAAAAAAATCACATGTTTGCACCATTGTGGAAATTTAGTTTCTGCTTCTTTTGACAGACGTGTTTTAAAATAATAATACATACAGATTTCTGTCTGCTGCTGCCCTGGGGCAGACCGAGACTACTGCCAGTGTCTTTGCACAGTTGAAAATCAAATGTTGGAGTGCCAATGCATGGTCAGCATTTGGACAGAGCACTTAAGTGAGTCGATGCTGCTGAGTGTGCACTTTGGTTAGTGGTGGAGCAGAGCAGTGACCCTGGGGTCAGACTGTCCTGGATCATGTGAGGTGAGCACAGATCACTGATAAATCTGAAACCAGAGAGCTCTGATCCAAATGCAAACAGTCCACTGTCACACAGTGTCCAGTGTCTCCATCTGGGCCTTGGTCTCCAGATTTAAACACACAGACACAGATATGTGAGGCAGAGAGGAATCTGCTCAGTCAGCAAAACATTCACAGCAGTTTTGCAGACAATAGTGGAAATACTAAAAACAATGTGCATCAATAAAATAAAAAGGATTGACTGTGGCACAGATGGTTAACAACCCTTGTTGTTGTGTCTCTGGGCAAAACACTAGACCCACAGCAGTTTTAAGATGCACAGTCACCTACACAAATCTACATCATTTAACAGTAGGATGTCATTTAACATTACTAGTTTACAGACGTGTCACAGGCGTGTCACAGGCATGTCGTACCCGTGTGAGGTCCATGCCCAGCTTGAGTTGAGACAGCAGATGCAGGATGATGCTGCGTTCCTCCTCCACAGCCCCCAGGTCCTCCTCTGTGTCTGTGAACGTGTCCTCCACCTCGTCCTCGGGGTCCATCTCCTCCTGCTCCTGACATGGGGACACATGTAGAGGTGTTACCATGGGAACAAGCAGACTACATACAATACTATTTCAGCAGAAATATTCCAAGTTCTTTAAACACAACTTCTTTTCCACTTTAGGTGACTGTGTTTCTAGAATGTTTTGAAATTGATCCACATGCTCACCATCCCCTGTACTGAATAATACACTTAATTCACTGCACTGATCAAGTTTATTTAAAATGCGTGATTAACATTTTTTACTTCTAGATAAGAGATGGGAAAATTACATTGTTGCAATGCTAAAGTACAACAACAGCAGCAGAATGAAACATTTTGGCGTTTTTTAGATTCTCGAATATGATGATGCCATACTCCACTAGATACCAGATGGCTGCAAGAGCTGGTTTCTCCTATTTTCCCCTATTACACTGAACTTGCCATGAAATCTCCAACAGGTAAATTCACAAATACTGAGCCCGATCTTTTCTATTGATGATTACACCGAAGAAGTCAACTTAACAAAAACCTGCTAAGTTAATGTTACTGGTGACGAGCAGTGAGATTTGCAGTATTCATGGAACCATGGTTACATTCTAAACTGTCAGGGCCCTGCATGTTTTCAGTGCTGATGAATTCCACATATCTTCTCTTGCATTACACAAAGTCGATCAGCTTCGACGGTGCAAAGCTAAAATGTAGCAGCTGACTGGATTTAAGTTGAGACAGAGGCTAACAAACCACAGGCTAATGTTTAAAGTGGTATCAGGCGTCTGTAGGAACTCTTGCATGTTGTGCTTTAAGTCAGATCCGTGGAACGGGGACTCCACTCAGTAAAAAAGCAATGCATTTTTGAGCACAAATACATTTTTTACACCATACTGTGGAACATTACACACAAAAAATATCATCTCCATGGATACAGCCCTCTACCAGTACATAGTGCACCTTTTAACTAAAATACAAAGCACTAATTGCAAACAATATAATAGCACTGAGCAAAAGTGTCCAAATGATTTTATTTAAGAAAAGCCTGAAATATTAATATTATTGAATAAGACCCCATGGAGACACTGAGAGGGCATCTGACACACAGGGACATTTAGTTCCCTATAGCTAAATAATTCCTGGGTTTTTATATCAGTAGATCTTTCGTTTCTAAAAGCAGTCCTGCTCTTGTTGCTGTGTGATGTGTGCTGACGTACCAGAAGCCTCGTCCTGGAAACAGTGGAGAGGAAACCTGAGCCTCTTCAGGGGTTACCCAAAACAACTGTGCCAGAGCTAACACAGCTAACAGAGCTAAAAGAGTTAAAACCCATTCTACCTGAGTGTTCTCATGCAGACATTTAAGATAGTAGGACATTTCAGTAAAACACTAATGCAATGCGACACGCAACATTTTTAAAAACACGTCTAAAGGTTTTACCAGTCTTTTTTCTTCAAGCGACACCATGTAACTTTCACTTGAATGATTCCACAGAAATAGAAAGTTAAATTGATACTCTGAAACATTCTCCGTGGAGATACGAAGATGTGTTTTATGTCATACTGTGGACGATTACAGCCAAAGGAACATTTTATGAAAACTACAGGGAAAGTCAGGTTTGTGGACATAATTATTGTCTTATCACAATCAAAGAGCTGAACCATGACAAAACTAAACAGCAAGATTCCTTCTCAATTCCAAATTAAAGCAGCAGTATGCAACTTTCTAGACAACAAATATAACCTTTTTTTTTTTTTTTGCATCCTTTCTGTGAGCGGGCTTACAACTCCACAAACCTGACTCTCACTTGGCCTAGAGGAGGGCTTCCTCCTGCTTGTTTTCATGGCAATGTTGTTCCTTAGTTTTAACTTTTTATTTCCATGGACTCATAGAGCTGATGTGCCACCTCCAGAAGGTTACATATTGTACTGTAATCTGAATCTATAGGCTTTAAAAGGTGCACTGTGTAACTTTTCTAATTCAACCTGATGTCTCCATGGAGATGTTATTGGTTCGACTCCATTATAGGGATACACTGATACGATACTGACATCAGCTATTGGTGTTGATATTGAAAAATTTGATGAATTGGACATCAGTTCCAAGTTATCAGTCCAAGATGTATGATTTACTGATTACATTATTAAACTTGCATTTTTTCAAATATGTTCTGTATTTACTATTTAACCATACACCATTTGTGTTCAAAGAAAATAAATCATATTTTCAATATCTGACCTGATATGAGGTGATATCAGGTACTGGCAGATACTTAAAGCCAAAGTATCAACATCCATATCAGAACAGGTCAGATCTCTGGAGAGGTGACCTTGCTCACAGTAACAATGTACGTTTTTCTAGGTATTTTGGAGCAATAAGAAAACATCTGACTTAATCTTACTATGGAGTATTCCAGATAAAGGGATACCATCTCAATGAAGACAAGCAGGTGATAGACCCTCCAGCAGAAAGGTTAAACTGCGTGCCTCTAATATGTGTATGTGTGTGTACCCATCACTAAACATATGACTCTGTGTGTGTGTGTGTGCGTGTGTGTGTGTGCGTGTGTGTGTGTGTGTGTGTGTGTGCGTGCGTACCGGTGCGAAGCAGGTGGTCTCAGGCGCGCTGAGCTCCGCTCTCTCCCCCTCCAGCGGGCCCTCGGCGGGGGGAAAGCTGCCTCCGTTCTTCAGCAGGTCGGGCAGTTTGGGCTCCAGCCAGTCGATGGTGGGCCCTGCGACGGATGCAACCGGGTTAGAGGCGCTCATGGTCCCCGGGCCGCCCCTCCCCTACTGAGGCCCCCACGCCTACACACACACGCACACACACACTTACACACGCACACACACACACACACACACACGGCTCCCAGGGGCCAGTTCTACTACTTCACAACAAGATTGCAATCCCCCAAACGGAGCGGAGGAGTGGAACACTAGTTGAACCTGAGCTGGATCAGGAGTGTTTAAGCCACGCCCACAGGAAGCATCCCCACACTCTGATTGGCCTTCGCGCCTCGTATACCCAGGGGATCTTTTATGCATGTTTAGGAGGCGGGCGGACCTAATTCAAATTTACCTCGGCGGTGTAATCTGATTGGGCGGCGTGTGGAATGGGACTCAATGAAATATACATCGCGTAACCAGATCCGAGGACCTTGTGACATTAGCTGGATCTTTTTCGTGTTACAAATTATCGAAAATCCCTGACTCCCACCTAGCTTTGGGCTGCTGACCTGTATTACGTTCAGACTCCGACCCCAACTGTAGCTACAAGCGGGCTAACTGTAGATACTTAAAGCAACCGGAGATCTGATTACCGTGGCGACAGGTGGTAAGAATAGGTACGGCCGGCCATCAATAATGCACCATAATTCCACTGTCCAGAGCTGCCAGGCTAGATGTGGACAAAGAGACATGTCCACTACCAAAGCATGTGCCATATAGATTTAGGTTACACATGTTTTGCTGGGTCAAAAGTGAAGGTAGAAGGTAGCTTTATATGATTATTCCAATGGCATTTAAAAAGTTTACCTCCTGATTAGGTCAATGGTAAATATCAGTGTTCCGAGTGTTGATATTGTAAAATATTAATTAAAAGGTGCACTTTGTAACTGGTGGATGGCATGACACTTCACCTGTTTGTTTCCATGGAAATGCTATTGGGTTGCCTTAAATGTTCCACAGCATGGCAATAAAGTAAATAAACTCCCATGATGACGAGCAGGTGACGTAACAAGGGCAAGTTACAGGTCAGATCTGCGGAGAGGCAAGTTGTTCTTCAAAGCAACTACTTTTTGTTGTAATAAAAACACCCGTAACTGGAAAAATGCTACATTGAAACATGTAATACTATACTGTGGAGTATTTCCAGCAAAGCACTAGCATCTCCATGGCAGACCCTCCACCATAAAAGTTACATAGTGCATCCTTATCTATTGTGGTACTTGTAAAATTTTGTATTTGAAAATGTTATTATATTGTCCTGTCCTGCTTGCTGTATGTTGCAAATTAAATAAAAAAGAAAAAAAAAGAAAATGTTGGTAAATTTTTCAGTTTTTCAGTTACTGGGGGAAACTGCCAATTTGGCGCTCAGGGTCACAGATCAGGAGTAGCCAGCTGGAGGATTAGCCAACTGTGCATGTTTTATGTACAAAAGAGAACATGGAGTATCCAGAGGAAACCCATCCAGGCACAGGGAGAACATGCAAACTCCACACAGAAAGACACTGCAAGATCCATTAACACCAACCAAAAATATTACAGAGTTAGCTCTACATTATAATTCAAACTGAATCAAGAATATTAATCTTGACATGTGCAGTACTGTGTTGATAAACATGTATATAATTTTTAGAATATTTGCAAAATATTTATGTATAATTCATATAATTTCAAAGTTTATTTTTAGGAAGAATGTTATATTTGTAAGAAAAAAATACCAGATTATTCAGTCTTGTAATAAGAAAAAAAAATCAGTCATTATTGTTCTCATTTATTTCTTGTTTCTCTTATTTTAATATAGTTTGAGTCCTTTGTTGAGTTGCTTTTACCCTTTTCGTTTTTGTTTCTTTTATGTTCTTTTTTTTGTTATTATTATTATTATTTTTTTTTCTCCTATAATTATTATTACTATACATTTCCTTTTTTGTGATATGCTGTGTGTACCTCCGAGTGCCCCCCTCTGGCGGGCAAGCTGCTGCAAGTGCAGGATGTGCAGGCAGTCGTTGAGGCAGCTCATGGTGGCCATGGAGGTGGCTTTAAGCATGAGCAGGTCCTGGTCCAGAGGAGACAGTCCAGGAGCCGCGGGCAGAGCCTCGATGCCCTCCAGAAGGTCTCTGTGCTGCCCGTGTGCCTGGCTCATCATCTGAACACACACAGTGGGGGAATCACACGTCATAAGTGTCTCAACTTAATTTGATTAAAAACACAGTGGAGCGCTTCCTGTGACATCACAAGGTGGAACAGAGTGTTTTCTGTTTCAGAGAAAAACTCAGCCTAAATATGTAGCGTCTGTGTGTTATATGTGTGAATGAAACAAAACACAACTCCAGGTCTGTTTATGTCAAGGAAATAACATTATAACACAGATCAGAAAATACCGGAATATAGGCCTTGTCATTTTTTTTTTCCTTTGGGGATTTCCACACTAAAGTAAGAATTAAAGCTGCAATCCACCAACTGGTACAGGGATGCAAAGCGTGAAAATGAATGCTCCTGATTATTTAAGTGTGGTGGAATCATGAGAAATCAGCTACTAACAGATACTAAAACTAGCATCAAAACAACATACTATTTTGAGCACAAAAGTATACAAGATTTGCCCTTTCCTCAACAGTCAGAACTACTTTTCATGATAAAAATTTTGTGTTGAAAATGACTTTTGACACTTTCATTATTGCAGTATAAAAATGAGTATTAAGTATCGAACCTACTCCTTAGTATTCATATTTTCGTATTGTGACACCAAACACTACTATACCAACTAGAAACAAAAGTATTTGCTGAGCTAGGCTTTGGCCACAGAAACACTAACTAAACTGTGCTGGCTCGGATAGATGAGCGCTTTTGTGTGTGTTTACATGGCTCCTCCTCAGATCTGGTGTCTATATTAAATGTACCTCGCCTCAGGTTCTGATTACAGTGTCAGAGCGCTCTACCCAACACCTGCACGAGGCCAGTCTAACCATAACGGCCTGTTCTTAGAGTACACACACAGAGCAGCAAATAGGGCGCTGAGACTCCTTCTCTCATACTCACAGGATACCACTCATCCATTATACACTGGACTGTGGAAAAAAATACCTCCCTCTAGTGGCCAGTGTGCACATAGATCTGGGTCACTGATAAAAGTAGTTTGGTGCATGTGATGGGATTTTAGGAATGAGCAGGGAGCTAGTTGCATTTACAATATGAGGTTTTAGTAATATTACTGGTAGGAATACACAGATATCAATACTGGCATTGAATATGGGAGCTGATCCTGGAAAATTTGCTTGATTGGGTATCAGTTCCATAATAATGGTTACGCTGATATCCTGGTTGGACCGTTATTAGAATATAATAAGTATGTATATGTATTTGCAGACTGATTTTGCACCAAAACGTCTCAATGTTTGAACTTTTATTCAAGTGCAGCTGTTCAGTAGTTTATTTGAAGGATAAATAACAGTTATATAAGACAATTGGATCTCTTATGTAATAAGTTAACTGTGTTTTAAGGAAATTAGAACCACTCTCTGTCCCTACACTGGTATCGGCTAGTATCGGGTATCGGTAGATGCTTAAAGTCAAAGAATCGTACCGTATTCGAAATGAAAAAGCTTGATCAGTGCATCTTTAATTATTGGACTGTTTTTTTTTTCCTGTTTAACACATATAAACATAAGTACCCTTAAAGATTAAATGAATAAAAAGTAATCTCTTAAGAAGTAGAACCAGTTTAAACTAATTTAAGTTGAATGATAAAAGCCTAAACCAAAATAACTTTACCTAGAGAATGAATTATGGGTTTTGTATGTAAGAAATTGTACGTAAGATTTAGATTTAAATTTCCATAAAAAATAACCTGTGTCCCCAGCTATGAGGTAAATATGTTTAAATCAAATATAGCTTTTACTGATAACCATGGTAATGCTGATTTGTTCTTAATCACAAAAACATGGCCAAGTTATTTACATTATAGTTTGGTGTTTTGTTTTTTAAGACAATTATCCAATCAGAAAATAGAATGAGCCTCACATGAGTCTCTAAATGGTGAAATCCATTGTGTTTAATCCTAAAATGTCTCTCTCTGACCTATAAACGGGAAGCATGAATAATTCAAACGGGATGATTTATAGTCAGTGGCGTGGCCCCCACAGGTAGACATTACCTTTTTTATTGGCTTACAGTGGGCAATTAGGCTTAACCAGTAAGGTCATGTTACTGCTACAGAAGTACTTTAATGTACTTGTACGTGTGTTTGTGCGGAGTACCCACCTCCCTGGCGTCGAGCAGGTGGTCCGGCAGTAGAGACCTCTTGCTGGAGTAGAGGGTGGAGCCTTTACTCTGGGACCACTGGAACATTGAGGAGGAGGGGTTCTGACTGGGCCTCCTCATGGACATGGGAGAGCTGCCACTGCCCTGAGACGCCATGGAGTAACTGCGTGACTTCGGAGGAGGGTTACTCTGGAAACGCAAGGATTCATGAAAGATGGATGAAACTAAAGACTTACTAATTTCAATTATACATTAACGCAAAGGATTTAGGTTCCCATAGCAATTAACAATTTAACAAAAATATTGAATGTTGCCAATTGATACTTTGCAGCAGATTGTATCAACATCTCTGGAGGGTGAATTCAGCTGTGCGTGGGATTAGTTTTACATAGTGTCCTCTGGTAAATTGTAATAACTACAGACATCATCTGCATTTCTTGTCCCGTGTGAATCGTCTGTGTCTGTAAAAATGTAAGGAAAAAGTCCCTCAAATTTGACCTCCTGTAATTATGGAGGTGATTCTAGTCCTGTGTAAACGCTCATCTCTCTAAACTCGCCTGTGCATTGAAGCTAATAGTGATTGAAAACGTCTCTACGGCCCATTTTAGATCCAAATACGAACTAAATCAACAATATTTATTCTCCATGGGCTATACTCTAATCCAGTTACTGTATTTTTCTACATTAAAAAAGTAAAAAAACTGCAGTAAAGATGTGACCCAGATGGAGCATCTATAGAGAAGTTTGGAGCTTTTGGTGCAAAGTTTGTCAAGTTTGAATGGACTGGCTGTATCAGGTGAACAGACTAAAAAAGAGACTGGTTGTTTCATGAGAAATCTGACGTTGTGCACGTCACTGTGATCACCGGTCACATCAAAGCAGTTAGAAACCCGGTGTTTGAGGCTACAGTGCAGGTACATTCTGAAAAAACAAACTTCAAATAAAAGCAAAGTGGGCGACATGATGAATGAAAAGGTTCTTGTCTTGTGTCTGTGTTTGTCAGTCTGTAACATTTAAATTTTACAGACATCCCTAAGTAAAACTAATCCCGTGTGAATAGGGTTCATGTCACTGTCACAATAAAAACGTGACCATGAATACTCCTGGAAATGTGCTGTTTGAATCCATGTTATATTTTTGCTATCTTAAAAGTAAAAACATTTGGCAGTATTTGCTAATGTGTGCATTACGTCAACTGGCAACTGCTGAACATTCCACCACAGACATACTGTACAGGTTTTGACAAGTTTTTTTTTTTTTTAGCAAATAGAACATAGTAGAAATCTATATCACAAAATAACAATCTATGAATAAATATATGAAGAGAAATAAAATACACTCAAAGTGACTTTATACTACATTATTCATTCACTTCTCAGTAACATAGGTGGCGGTGGCAAGTTACTACTACTGCAGCTATAGGAGGGGACCTGATGAAAAGTCCAGTCGGCTCCAGCTCCAGTCGCACTAACGCTACGGTGGGTTCAGTGGCCACTCCAGTCCACAAAATACTGGGCAGGTGGGGAGGCTTCTGGAACTTCTATTTTAGGGTAAACTTATAATTAAATTGTATCTGTCCTTTGTCTGCAGAACCTTAATCTGCTACTAATTAGACCTTGCAAACGCTCTCTGATTATAAACTCATTAACTTGCTGTTTATTAATACGATGTTAAGATGCCAATAGGCTTTGGCATTGAGGGTGTTGTTAAAGGTGACTACCACAAAAAATGTAGTCTTTAATTGGTTCATACCATACAGGAAGTTTGTTCTTACACCCCGAATGGTCAGATCTTTGTGCTCTGTTGTGTATTTTTTCAGCTCGTTCTTGACATTCACTTGGTTCTTACAGGGATTTTTAAAGTGGGTATGGTTAATCTATAAATCTATTCTATTTTAAATCTATTTCTCTTTTGTAAAATTGCAATTAAAAAAAATAATTTCTGCCATCATGTGATGAACATGTAACTTTTTTAGTTAAAAGTGCATGGTAACTTTTCTAGTGGAGGGTCCAAATGCTTTTCTCCATGGGGGATGTTATTGCTTTGTCTAGAATGTTTCACAGTATGGTATGATTGCACAGTAGTTTGTCAATCAATAGTCTATGGTGTGTGCTTATATTGGCTCAACACAGAGTGCCATCTCACTTCAGCATCAATTATTTAGAGTTTCAATATTTTTGTAGGCCCTGTTCCATTCGTTTAGCTCTTAAGTAAAACGGGAAATCCAATCCTCTTACATCCATCCTGTCTAAACCCAAATATTCAAATTCTTTCGACATCAACATGAGTCTGTATTGAAAAGAACCTTATCATCATTTAGTAAGGATTGTGCTACACAAACTTGTCTTAATCTTGTGGTTTAAAGTCCTTTCAATGGACAACGATTGCATCTTCAAGTTTGCACAATGGTAAAGCTTTCTGAGGCGATTGTGAAAAAATTATTTCACTTCAGTTTATTTATACCGACAGAGAAGTCTTTGAACGTTTTACCAGTTTTTGTTTCATGTGGATAGGTCCGATAATTACAGAGATTTAAACCATAAACCAGGTCAACAAATCTGGAATCTGACAGTTAAAAAAGCAAACCCCACCTGAGAATTCTGACCTGTAATCCAGCTCAGTTTAAACTATAGAGATTCTAGTGTGTTGTGATGTCTCGTCACAACGACAACCTCACCTTCCCCATGGCTTCTGTGTGGTGCTGCGTGCAGATCTGTAGCCGGCTCACCCAGTGCTGCCTCTCTTTGGCGTCGGTGGCTGGAAAACAAAAGTAAACAAAAGAAAAAATGTGTTAGATTTCCTGTAGTGAGATTCAAAACTACATTATACATACATATGACTACATGGTAAAAAAGTACAATTATTTAAAGCACTATGTAACCGTCACCTGCTTGTTTCTATGAATATGTCATCGCTGTGTTTGGAATGACATTAAACACCTCTACTTTACATTCATTTATACAGCTGGTTTTATTGCTCAAAAATAATTAGAAAAACAGGCATTCTGACTGTGAGTGGGGTCGCCTCGCCACAGATTTGACCTGTAACTTGGTCTGGTTTGGTCTCCATAAAGATAGAAAGGTTTAATGCCATACTGTGAAACAATCCACATAGCAATAACATCTCTATGGAGAAAAGCATTTGATGGACCTTCCACCAGAAAAGTGACACAATGCACCTGAAAATCAAGTTCTATTATCTAAATAAAGAATGTTTTAAAAATTATTATTATTGTGGTATTGGAATTAGTATCGAGTCTATTCCTTAGTAACAAAAATGTATTTACATTTTTTGAATCGTGACAATACTAATACTGTCTGCTTCATGCCTATTTTGGTAAAAAGAATTATTTATTACCTTTTTTTTTTTTCTTCTCAAGATTTGTTCACATTTGTTTGGCAGTACGCAGGCATTAGATGAAAAAGCACAATTATCTAAGTATTAAAGAGAAAATTATAATTTAAAAGTCCAGCTCTCTGTTAGTTTCTGTGAGTTTTTGAGTAGAATTATTCACAATATATCTGCTGGAATTGGCTATTCTTTACTATAGGTTACCATAGCAACAATCTCTCCTGTAGCTCACTGGGAGATGGAAGAAAAATGTTGTTGAGATTTAAAGCTGTATTGATTTGCTACGTGCTGTCTTGGCCAGGAGATAATGGACAACATGCAGATCGATACGCTGTGACTGTGATGAATGGTGAGGGCGGGAATGTCAGAGGAGCGGTGAAGGATAAAATAATATGGCAGACAGGTGGAGAAGGAAGACGAGGAGAAGTGGGTGTACCTCTCAGCTTATACTGTTCTCCGCTGATGGCGTTGACAGTGAAGGTGTGGGAGTCTTCGTCGCTCGGGGAGATGACGGCTCCGGCGAGTGGGAGCATGCCCCGAGGCTTCTGCGGACGAGACTGTTCATTGACGAAGTACTCGAGCAGACCGGCCTCATTGTTTAACACGAAGAACCTGTAAGAAAGAAAAGAAAAAAAAAACAATTAAAAAAATTTAAAAGTGACACAATTTAAACCCATAGTATGTCACTTTTTTGCCAAATGTATTACTATTATTTTTACTTTATTATACTTAGTTATCCTCATAGAGAAGTTTGTCCTCTGCATTCGACCAAAAATCCTTATGGTTGACTTTATTGCACCAAAAAACATAGAAAATTGTGTGTCCTTACTCTGAGCAGGCTTGTATCTTGGCAAACCTTCTCCTCTAGCTTGTTTCCATAGCAATGTTCCCTAGTATGGCCTAAAACTTATCTATCTCCATGTAAAATGTTCCAAAGTATAGTTTTAACTTTCAATTTCCACAGAAGACTTTTCACTTCCACAAAGTTACACGCTATCGATTTAAAAGGGAAACTGACAGGGCATGACTAAGTGAATTCCATGTTATTAAATGTATTCTAAATATGTTCAACAAAATTATTTCTTTTGGTTTTCATATTCATTACAATGTCAAGAACATACATATACTTCGTAATGTATGTAAATAATTATTAATAATTAGAAGCATATGCATGTGTTAGTTAGACAAAATAGCTAAACACAGAATAAAAGTCCCATTCATGGCACCATAGACCATAGACAAGAGTATTAAGATCTAATTTAGGAATATATTGTTATGAAAATTCGAAAAATCAGAAAAGACGTGGTTTTCCAAGTGTCAACAGATCTAAACCGGGTCTATGACAGGACTATTCCAGGTTCAGGCTACTAAAATTGGATCACATCATTGCTTACATCATTAACTGACCAGAAATGGGCATAACATTTACTAAAACTGAAGAGTTGTCAGTCAGAGAAGCACTAGAACAAGCTTGTAGACCACTACTTATGTGTACCATAGTTTGAGAAATACTGCTCTAAACCTAATACGTTAAGTCTACGGGAAAAGTACAAGAGATTTGTTCATCTTACGTAAAAGGCAGAACGTGTATTGTTGAGCTCCACAGAAAATATTATGAAAGTGACACAGTGTTTAGTCACTCATAGTCATAAGTAGTACTCAGGAGTTATGTAGAGATATGATGTAAGAAAGGCTTACATTACCTGTACTGCCAGCCAGTTACCAGGTTGGTATATTTCATCAAGTATCCATCGATATTCTCCATGTGATCACTGAAAAAGAAAAGAAAAAAAAGAGTGAAAAATGCTTGTTTAAAGATAACTTTACGCACACGCCCTTTAAACATACACTGGTATTTTGAAGTGTGACAAACTTGCTGAACAGCCTAAAAACTAGTTATTTTGCTTTGATTTGGCTTTTTCAGGGCTTGAACGATAGCCTACACAATAAGACAGAAAAAGTTACACCTGGTTAGTTGATTACTCTGCATTGATTTGCGTGCGCGCTTGGCTAATCCAATCATCAGCACTCATGCCCCCGTTAGCATGTCATATGTGACCCACCTGTACTGCCAGTTCTTGGCGTTGGATCTCCCCGGATTTGGGGTCCTGACCTGGGGGAACGCATCGAGTTTGCCTTCGTTTTCAGTGATTCGTACAGCCGCCGCCGTTTCCCCTTGCATAGTCACAGAAGCGCCCCGGACTGACAGGCGCTAGCACACGGCTGGTGGGTTAGCCCGTGATGCTAATAATGGGTGCTAGCTACTGTCAGCGCGAATATGATGAAAACAAACGAGCCCTTTTAAGATTGGAGGTGACGCGTTGGGTCTACTTCATGTCTCGATGAGTAAACTATCACTAGTAGGTCCAAAGTTATCTTCTCCAACGGAAAAAAGGAATTAAAAGCATAATTGAATACGTTTCATGTCTCAGTTGTGTACTAGCTTCGGTGGTTCAGATATTTACAGCTGCGGATTGGCTGAGTGGAGTCACATGACCGGCCCATCTGCTTCCGCATTACAGAAAGAAAATAAATAAATAAATTTATCTTAGAATTTGATTTTAAACATTTAAGCCAAATATAAAGTTTGTAGGAATAAGGAATTGGGAATTTTAAATAGATAAAAAATTCTTTTTTATTTTACTTGTACATAAGAGTAGTAAATTGTGTTTTTATTTATTCAAGATTATATAAATATTTATTAAATTAATTAATTATTAAATTCATATCAGTCAAGTCTACATACAAATTCATTCACTGAACTAATTAACCTTCATTTTTATTAGTCTACGTGGAGCCAAAACATACCTAAATTAATTAAAACTAAATCAAATGTAAAACTGCAAAGAGGGTGTACTCATAGTCTTTGAGTGTACCTATACTGCTAAGAAAAGAGGGTGGGACTGCAGTAGCCAGGGCCAAGGGCGTATGAGGAAGTCGGCGCAGTGAAAGAAAAAAAAAAAAAAGCCGTGGATTTTTACGCACACACAATCTCCAACCATGCCTGGGAAGAAAGTCTGCATCGTCGGTTCTGGAAACTGGTAACACGTTTTTCCTTCTTTTGAAAGCGATCGCGTTGTTGTTTATTAATTTTTAAGGTGAAGAAGAGAGTTTGGCCTGACAGGGAAGCTTCTGTTTAGTGCAGTGGTGCGGGATGTGCGTGCATGTGGAGACCGTCTGATTGTCAAAATGAATTATCTCCCAGGCTACATTATCTGAAGTCTGTAGTTTATTTAAAAGCAATTGCACACATTTTACGCAGACTACAGTTAAATTTAATAAAACCCTTTGTTTGTCCTGTATCACTGCAGTAAGCTGTAATAATAATGCTTATTACAAATCAATGGTGTAATGAATCAATAGGCTATGCACTGTGGTCTTAGTAGCAATAATGGGCCCATTAGAAGATTGATTACTTCCGGGAATTTGGCTGGCCACAGCACTGAAACCAATACTTAGACAATATTTAGAAAACATCTTAACTTTTAACTAAGAAAGCCTTATACGAGTCATACCTAGTAAATATCTCCATGGAGATTTTATCTGTTTGCCTGGAATGTTTCACAGTATGGCATTCATTTTGCATTTATTTAATTGTAACACAATCATAGGTGTGTTTTACTGTTTTACTGCATTCTTACTGTGTGCAAGCCTGCCTCTCCACAGACCTGACCCATAACTTGACCTGTGCTGCTTATTTCTATGTCCATGAAGATAAATCCGTTTCTTGCCAAATTGTGAAACATTGTAGACAAAGTAGCAGAGTTTTTCTAATTTTGGAAATGCTGGATTTAAAGGTGCACTATGTCAAATAACTTTTCTGGGAAGTGGAAGTGGAGATGACATTGCTTGTCCCAACTTGTTCCACAGTATGGCATTCAATTTATTTATAGCATTTCTTCAATTACAGATGGTTTTACTGCTAAAAACACCTTGACAATAAATTGTTTCTGTGAGTGAGGTCACCTCTCCACAGATTTAACCTGTAACTTACTTGTCTTGGCGAAGTCACTTGCGTCATAAAGTTGAATAATCCAGGCAAAGCAATAACATCTCCTTGAGGACATGCAGGCAGCCACCACGTCATCAGTAAAGTTGCCTAGTGCATCTTTAATTTATCAGACTTGTAGCTTAAAGAGGGACTATTATGCAAAATTGTTTTCTAAAATATTATAATGCTTCCTCACCTGTCATCTATGCATGTTTGAGCATGTTTGTAAGATTTTGTCCAATGCTCCACCCATAAGCCTACATCATCCATACTCCCACACTGCAATTCCATAAATACTGTCTGCACAACTATTGGGCAAGTGAGTATTTTGACCATATCATCATTTTTATGCATATTCTCCACCTCCAGGCTGTATTAACCTGAATGCTTATTGGATTTAAGCAGATCAGGTGATGTGAGGGTGCAACCTAAGGAGATCAACACCCATTATCAGGGCGTGCAGCTTCTTTTCCCTAGGCAAAATGGACAAAAAAAGAGATTTAACTGAACTGACCCTGAAATATAAATCTGACCTGTAACTTGGTCTGGTTTGGTCTCCATGATAATATAAAGATTTAGTATCGTACTGTGAAACATCCCAGACAAAGCAGTAAAATCACCATGTAGAAAAGCATTTGCCGGACCTTCCACCAGAAAAGTTATATATTACACCTTCTAGAGATGAAAAAATAATGACGTGGCCCCCTTCCTCACCTGACCTAACCCTATTGAGAACTTGTGGGCCCTTCTTAAATGGCAGATTCACGGTGAAGGAAACCAGCACACTTCTCTGAACAGTGTCTGGGAGGCTGTGGTTGCTGCTGCACAAAAGGGTGTTTGTGAACAGATCAAAAAACTGACATGAATGGCTCCATGAATAGAAGGCTAATGACCATTATTGAGAAGAAAGGTGGCTATGATGTTCACTGTTTTTTAGTGGTCTTTGTGTCTCGAAGTTGGTGCTAACTGATGTTAAAATAGAGTTCTGCTATGAATCTTGCACAGAATCAAATCACACAATCGACTTGTCATTAGAGGTATTTTCATAAAGTTGTTTTGTGCTCTACGTTGATATTAAGATTAGCTTTGCATTAGCTGTCTGTGATTATCATATTATCTCAGATTATGTGTCTGTGACCTGCTGTCCTGTCTGATACATCAGTATAGATTTATTTTAGTACGACTCAGCTAATTCCCAATAAACAATAAATGGAGCAGAAAGTGCAGATCCTCAGTTTTTGAGAGAACTGGAATAAGCCAGGCACCTCCGTGAATAGAGCCTGTACCATATCGTTTTCATCACAAATGTCTGCTTCTTTTTAGTTTAAAACCGCCCTCTTGTGTTTTCAGGGGTTCGGCCATCGCCAAGATCATCGGGCACAATGTGAAGGCTTCTAACCGCTTTGAGCCGATGGTGAACATGTGGGTGTACGAGGAGATCATCGACGGGAAGAAGCTGACGGAGATCATCAACACAGATCATGAAAACGTCAAGTACCTGCCCGGTCACAAACTGCCCCGCAATGTGGTACGTGCACTCCCTGACAAGCCAGTCTCTTCTACATTCTGTTTGAATCCAGAATCCAGACAATAGAGCATGAAAAACCTTTGACCAAATTTTAGATGATCACAACCACAGCCGCTTGTTTGTTGCATGTCTCTGAAATCTAGAAGACTTCTCCTCTAGAAAATTCCAAGATGATTCTCAGTCCTTTTTATAGGGATTGGACAAGATTTCATTCCACAAGATCTCGCAAGAAGAAATTGCCTCAAAATTATGCGAACATGCTGAAAATGAGCTTGTGAACCCCCGCCCCTCCATGTTTTTATGTTTGGATTGGACAAAAAAATTGAGTTAAATGCTGGTGAGTTACATTATTGTGAAGCTGTAGTCCCAAAAAGTACTGCTACAATGACACAAAAATATTACAGTACAATATACATATACATATACATATACAGTACATAAAAATGGTGAGGCTAAAATTGGGAACTGGATTGCACAATTTATTTATTAAAAATGCTGTCAAAATCTCATTCTTGTAAATCCAATCTCGTGTCTTGTCTTGTGGAAATTGTATCTCGTCCCTCCCTTAGTTCTTGATGTAGCTTTTTCTTCTTTTCTACGTGTAAACCGCTGTATTTGTTTTTGACGCAAATGGAGCGTGTGTCTCTCTGATTGGTTAATCTGCCTGTCAGTTGGCTCCAGAGCCACACGTCTTTGTGTGTTTGGACTGGACTGGACAGGTATGTACGAGCATGCAACGGTCTCCTGTAATACAATTTGTGACCTTTTATCAGACGTCCTGATAGAAATGGAAGATAAGGACTGAGGACTAAGGAGTGACTTGGATCTGAATAGCTATAATTATGTAGTTGACTATAATTTGCAGCTGAGTGGGTTGTGGAAGGCCTGAATTGTAGTTGTTATTTTTTCAGTGTTAAACTTTGACCAAACCAGGCCAAGTTACAGGTCAGGTCTGTGGAGAGCCGACCACGCTCAGTCAGAATGCCCGTTTTTCTGGGTATTTTTGAGCTATAAAACCACCTGTAATTAAATAAATGTGAGTTAGAGCTGTTGAATGCCATACTGTGGAACATTCCAGGCAATGCACCTTTAAGAATGATCTTGTGCTTTTTGCGTTTTGTATTCTGTCAAATTTATATTAACAACATTACTCATATGTGTCACGCTCTTTTGTTGTTGGTGCAGGTGGCAGTTCCGGACATCACCGAGGCTGTGAAAGGTGCATCCATCCTGGTGTTTGTCATCCCTCATCAGTTCATCAGCAAACTGTGTGACCAGATCAAGCCCCACATGAAACCAGGCGTCATAGGGATCTCTCTCATAAAGGTACAGTGTACACAGTGCTTTTAGTGTCTGAAGAAAGAGGGGAAATTCTAGTCACGTTACTTTGTGGTTGTGTCTATCATGGGACAGTGGTTGTGCAATGCAAATCAGACAAGACGGTGTGATTTCAGAATGTATTTCAAGTTCTACATTTTGCAGTTAGTACAAAATAATGCAGCGGTAAGGCTTTTTGGTATCTACATGCATCAACAAAGGCATTTTAGTAATCAGCTTCCTCTTCACTTTCAGTTCAAATGCATGTATAATATCACGTAATTTGAAACATCTGACTGAAAGCGAGGGCTGCAGAGTTGATCAATAATTAGCAATATCAGGGTTGCAATTATTTTGGTAATAAAATGTAAATGAAAATTCTGTAAATGGAAAAAAAAGGTGCTAACTCTAGTTTAGAGCTCTGCAAACAGGACATGTGTGGGATTCTTGCAGGGCTGTGCAGTTCATCAAATGATTAAGAGGTTGTGATTCTGACATGTCTAATAATCTATGATATGATTGGGGCTTTTGAATGGAGAAGTAAACAGTCAATTCTCTCAATCAGTATCACCTTATTTGTTTCAAGGGGTAGTTTAAGCACACAGAGCAGTAAAATACAATAACAATAATAGAAAGCTCAAACAAAAGTCCTCAGGACAAAAGTGTCCCTCCTCTGTGTCCTGCAGCATCACAGGAGCCTCCAGAGAGCTCTAAATGAACTCTGGAGACACAACAGGAAACCCTTTTGTAAACCTCTCTCTCCCTGCGCTGTTGTTTCAGTCAGTGATGAAAGAGGCCATTCCTTATTTCCTCTGTGGCATTTTAGAGCTAGCTGACAAGCATAGCTATCTCCAAGAGGGTCAACCTGGACACAGGAAAAAACAAACTGCTCAAACCACATAATCCAATAGTCCTTAACTTCCGTCCTTTGAAGCGTGCGTGCTGTGCTTCTTAGCTGGTCAAAATCCCCAAATATTAAGTTCAAATTTTAAGATAAAATGGTAAAAGTTTAATAGACACTCAGCCAGCCAGCCAGTCGGCCACAAGAGCAGCCGACCACAACCATGGCAACCACGAAATCTGTCAGTGAAAGCATGTGGTTCGGAACAGACACAAGACTTTAGAGGAAGAGGAGTGACTATGTTTTGTGCTAAAAGGCAATGACTGAAAGTCTGTGTTGTATAAGTTCATGAAATCAGTACTAATTCAGCATTTTAAAAATACTAAAATAAAAAAAGAATTGAAAATCAAGATTGATCAATACTAGATACTAGATACCTTGTATCTAGCAGTTCATATTTTATTCCTCTTTCCGATGTCAATGTTCCTTGAAAATTTGAGTTTTCCAAAATTGTGAAGCTCTAATAAAAGCCATTGATTGGTCTAAGCCATAATTAAGTTGATAGTTGATAGCTTTTGCACTGTCATTCTGTCCTTCCTTATATTTTGTATTGTACCAACCAAGTCTATTTTTACTTTATTTTACTGCGCGCTCTTATTTTTATTTGATCATAGTTAATTTTATTTTTTGTTTAATGCTGCTCCTTAACTTTAAAGAAAGTTCCTAGTTTGTGAATTCTGTTCAGTGATGGAATGGAAATCAGATTCTTTAAAGAAGGGGTACTATACAAAAATAGACTTTCGGTGCTTTCTACCATGTTACAAAGTTGTCACTTCATCAAAAACATGCCTGAAGAGGTTTTAGATGTCATTCATGCATGTCTGAGGAATCTAGCGATCTCTCCCGGGCCCTATTCAAACCCTCATCACCGTTAGTACAATTCTGTGCAATGCTCCATAAATATACAAAACTGTACACTACAACTTCACAAACCTGGTGTGATGTGTAATAGTTTCATTAGCACGCTGATTGTGTTGTGATGGCGCTCTGAAAGGGCAGTGACTTAGCATGTTGAGGAAAGAGGATGGGAATCAGACCGTCAATAATATCTGATAAGTGGTAACTGATTATTTTTTAGAAGTTTAATTAATTTCTTTGGGTATTTCTTTTTTCTAACAAGGGCATTGACGAAGGGCCAAACGGTCTCAGACTCATCTCGGACATCATTCGCGAGAAGCTGGAGATAGAAGTGAGCGTTCTGATGGGCGCCAACATCGCTACAGAGGTCGCAGAGGAGAAGTTCTGTGAGACCACCATCGGTAAGACTGTGGAACCAAGTCATCTATAGCTCCTTCCTCATCAAAAACATACCTGGAGTTGTGTAGGATTATTCAAACACCTTCATACTTCCTGTGCGGCAGGCTCCAAAAACGAGGCCAGTGGAGTGATCTTCAAGGAGCTGTTCCAGACGCCAAACTTCCGCATCACGGTGATACAGGAGAGCGACACTGTGGAGCTGTGTGGAGCGCTCAAGGTACAGGGCGTTTCAGTCTTATCACAAGGATTTGATCACACACATATACAGCACCATTACGAGATAGTCAAGTTCTAATCTCAATGAACTTTATACAGAATTACAGAATTACTTATTTGCAGTCAAGTCACTTATTAAGTCTTTGGTCATCAAAATAATATTAAAAATTTTCTTTCTATTTCTTTTCGATTGTAATTGATCAATACACATTTTCTACTTGTGGGTTCAAAGTATAAATCAGAATTTTTCCATGTATATGAGTAAAATGTGTCTTGCCCCAGTACAGATATACTGTATAAGGTCAAAATAAGTCTGCTGTGTACTCTTTGCATCGAATTACTGTTCAGTACACAAGAAGTACTCTATGAATGAATATGAATATGACTATGATTTACAATGTATATGTAGTATGTGTATGATTATTGTTTCTCTCTTGGCACAAACTTGAAATAAAAACAAATCAATCAATCAATAACAACTGATTGATAAGAAGGAAGTGCGTGTTGGCATGCTAGATGTTGCATACCGTGACCACAAAACACAGCTATGGTCTCTGAAAGTTTTGAAAAGTGCTTATAAAAAATAAAATTGTGGTGAAGAATTATATCATAAACAAAAATTTCAAACTCTGCTTCGCTTCTGTTGAACTACTGTTACTCCACAGATAAGCCTGGTTCAGGAAGTACATTTCCCTTTCATTTTCCCCATAGACTTTCTGATAAAAAAAAAAAAAAAAAAAAACGCTAAGTTATTGGACACAGTAGCTCACACATCACAATATATTATAATAACAAAGAACAAAAGTATAAATGGTAATAAGAAATTCAAAATATAAAGTAAAAATAACAACAGACTGGTGTCAAATACGGAACAATTATATAAATGTATATGTAAAAGTAAAAAAAAGATTTAGAATTTTGCCTTTTAAATATACTTTTTGGACTTAAAAACAAGCTAGTTAGCATGTAGCTGGTTAGCCTCCACTTTGACTTTGAACTAATTTTAGCCCATATTACATTTGTTTTTAAAATCCACACACCTTCACTAGACTCATTTGGATCATTTTAGTTATCTCTACTGAAAAAAATATTAAAAAGTAGGTGTTAGCTTGAAAATGACAGCTTCATGACATCACAAGGTGGAACAGAGCACTTTGAGCTTTGGAGATGTAAACAGACTAAAAATAAAGGGTTACTCAAACATATGTGAATGAAACAAACAAACAAAACAAAAAAACATTAGAGGTATCAACATTAGCACATGGTTTAAAGCTCACAAGACTCCATTTTTATATTTCATTTTTTTAAATAATGGGAAAAATGAATGGAAAATTTACTTCTGGAGCGGGAAGTGAGCGCGACTGTTGGAATGCGGGTCATGCAAAATAAATGCATTTTAGTTAGCATTAGAATAATCACTGTTATAATCATATTTGTCTGTTCCAAACCGTGCCTAAAGATTATGACCACCAAATGTATGACTTTTTTTGTATTCTAGGTTTCTAATTGTTATTTGTCCAGAACATCGTGGCGGTGGGAGCGGGCTTCTGTGACGGCCTGGGCTTTGGAGATAACACCAAAGCCGCGGTGATCCGTCTGGGGCTCATGGAGATGGTGGCGTTCGCTCGGATGTTCTGCAAAGGAGAGGTGAGCTCCGGCACGTTCCTGGAGAGCTGCGGAGTGGCCGACCTGGTCACCACCTGCTACGGAGGGAGGAACCGTAAAGTGGCAGAGGCCTTTGCCCGCTCCAACAAGGTAAAAAAATCAACACTGGGTACTTTTACATAACGTGTATTGTCCTCCCTGAGATGTTAGCAGTTCCAGCTTGACAGGGAACTAAACTCTATGATGAGGCAGTTATTGTAGTTTTTAGATTTAATGCTCATTTTATGAACGCAGAGTGAACATGCAAGAAAAAAACACAAAATACAATCCGCAATCTCTTATAATAATATCACATTCCAATACAAGTATTATTGCAAGCTCAGTTACTTATAATAAAGCAGTTACAAAAAATTGCCAATACAAATTTTTTATTGCTAATAACTTAAAAATAAATAAATGCATTTATCACAAATCCGTTTTTATCACTGACACATTAATATGAGGCTGCTTGAAAGAAAATTACTGTTTGCTTAAATAATGTGGCTGACTGCTATGAAAATACCGCCTATAAATTAGTTTTTAAGTAATTTATACACCCATGAAATTCCACAAATTCAATGTACAAATGCACACATACAGGCGTTGCTTTTGTAAGTTTAATTTTGAGCTGTTTGAGTCTGTTTTTATTTCCTCTTTACCAACTTGCATTCCCATCTCACTTGCTTATTTTTCACACTTCCGTTTCCGTGGACTGATGTGGAATACTGAAATAAAAGCACAGATTTCAAAATAAAAGTTTATGCAGTTAAATGAACTTGAAAATGTCTAAAGGGCAAAACAACAGGTACCAATCTGATCTGATTGAGAGTAATCAGATAACTCGGTAATGAGATCAGATTTTTGGTTTGAGTTTACAGCATAAGAGAAATCGGATCAACGCAAACAGTGACAGTGAATTAGAGGATTTTTAGAGTAGCTGTATTTGGAAGACAAACCCTGCACAAATGTGACCAATCTGAAAAAAGAAAGCAATCCGATTACCCACATAAGGCGTCACTGTTGGCATGGCATGTTACTAATCTGATAACTTTAGAAATCAGATAACAGATTTTTTGTGTTCTTGTTTGTGTTACATTCTTTTTGTCATGTGCATGTTGTCTGGAAATGAGTTATCCATTAGCAGATTGGCCTCTTTATATTTTAAAATCCATTTATATTGTTCTAATTTTGTAAAATTGTGTAAAACACAAAACTTACAAATGTAACTACGGTTCTATGAATTTCTGTTGATTCAGCATCTCTCTCTGACGGTCAGTAGGGAGGAAATAAAATCCAAATTTACTCTTTATTGCCATGTTAGAATGTTGTTACCTCCTCAAAAACATACCTGGATTTGTTTTGTTTCATTCACACATTTGCATAATCTTTTATTGTCTGTCTACATCTCCAATGCTCCAAATGCTCTGTTCCACCTTGTGACGTCATGAAGTGGTAGTTTTCAAGTTAACAGATACTTTTTACTTTTAGTTCATAAGAGATCCAGGGCTGAAATGATCCAAATAATTCTAGTGAAGGTGCATGGAGTTTGTGGAGCACTTCCTGTATTACCAGATGACATCATGAGCTGGAATAGAGTGTTTTCTGTTTGAGAGAAGAACTCCTAAATCTGTGTTAAACGTGTGAATGAAATAAAACACAGTATCTCTAGTAATTTTTTTGATGAGGAAACATTAGAACATAGATCAGAAAACAGCGTAATAAGGACCCATTAACCCAACAGTTTATTTGGTCCTTTATTCTGTGTTTTAAAATCTAAATCTCCTATAGTCCATTGCTGAGTTGGAGGCGGAGATGCTGAATGGCCAGAAGCTTCAAGGTCCACAGACGTCCGCTGAGATCTACAAAATCCTGCAGAAGAAGGGCCTGGTGGACAAGTCTGTATCACCACATCAACACCACTCAAAAATATACGGAGAATTTGTCTAAAAAACGTCTAATAATGGTTTGTATCGTGCAGGTTTCCGCTCTTCGTCGCGGTGTACCTGATCTGTTTCGAGGGCAAAGAGGTCAAGGAGTTCATCACATGTCTGCAGAACCACCCAGAGCACATGTGAAATTAAATGTTTTCATAATTCATTTCTTTACAACATTTAAAACCGAAACCAAACTACTAAACTCAAACTACAATGCCTTAACTCTGCCATTCTTCTCAGGACCAAAGCTAATTCTCCTGCAATAATTGTTTACAACCACTAGAGGGAGGTGCAGCCCTGTCATTCCCAAACGCACAATATCAGCTAACATCTCAGCACTTTGAATTTAGAATATTTATGTCAGCTTTTCGTCGTGTTTTACAAAATTTCAGAAGTGCCTACATTGATTTATGCTCTTAGATGTAATTTTGAATAGGACTGTGTTGTCAGGTCACAATTAAAAAATGTATGAAGTTACTTAAATTGTTCTATTTTTAACACTATGGAGTTGATTAAATCTATTTAAAACATTTGGTTGTTGATTTTTTTTTATACCAATAACTTAAACTACAGTAACAACTTCACAAATGCTATGTTACTACTACTACTACTACTACTACTACTACTACTACTAGCCTACTTCTGTTTACTACTACTACTACCACTACTACTAGCCTACTTCTGTTTACTACTACTACTACTACTACTACTGCTACTACTACGACTACTTTTTCTATTAAAACAACAACTAGTACTACTACCGCTCAGGCACAGCGTTACAGGTGGTTTTTGTTTTGGTCAAAAATGATAAAAAATTTGAAAATAATCACATAATTTGTGCTAAAATAGTCAAAATATGTTTTTGGGTTTTTTTTAAGACAAAAGCTGGTTATGTTGATGTTTCTGCAGACAGTGCCACACGGATGGAGCCGTGGCGCTTCTGCACTCCAGACAGATAAATACATCGCTAGTTGTTGGTATTTCTAGGCTAGTGAGCTGAAAGAGTCAAAAACATTTAAACTAAAGGATGATGTTACAGCCGTTCTTGTTTAGGCACCTTAAAAGTGCACAAACAAAGTCATCACTGCAACCAAGAGATGAAGACCAGCACATCTTCCTCTCTGCCACCCCAGGGTGATAGAGCAGCTAGCGTGACCCTCGCCGATGCCTCTGCCTGTGACCCGCGAGTGGATGATCGTCCTCCTGGTGCCCGTGTGCTCATATGGACTGGTGTAACTGTCAAAGTAGGAAGGGGGATTAGATTAGTTTTACCACCAGCTCGTGCACTCAGCTCCCGGGGGACGTGTCTGGACAGGTGTCCTGTGTGGTTTGATCTCTTCATACTGGACAGTAATGCACTTTTGGAGACAGAATCAACAGGACAGTGGATAGAGGAGACACTGCATCAGTCCTCTGGAGAAGGTAAGAAGCTTGTTTTCGTTAGTTTTGGGTAAATACAGTGGTGGAGTTAGCAATTTGGGGGCCCTAGGCGAACTTGAGTTTGGGGCCCTCACTATAATGGATTTTCAAATATATATTTTTTTAATATATGTATTTATTGTCTGTTTTTGCCTATTGTTCTTAAAGACATGCACATCTCTATTTATTTGTATGGTGGATTGGAAAGTTGTAGTATTAGTTAAGAAGCCTACTAGATAACCAGATCTGAAAGTAAGAAAGTTTTATTTTTTTGCTAGTACAGTTAAATTTTTGTTTACATCCATTACATATGATGATTATTATTTTTCTTATGGTTATTGTTTAAAAGTAAACTACTGAGCGAAAATCAAATTGCTCTGAGGCCTTTGGTTGGGGGGCCCCCTCCAGGTTTGGCGGCCCGAGGCAGCCGCCTGCTTTTGCCTAATGGTAGCGCCACCTCTGGGTAAATGGTGCTATAGCGTTAAGCGTAAAATACTGCGTAAATGAACTTGTGGGTGCGACTGAGCTGCTCCGGTTCTTCTGCCATGTGCTGTAGGAGCAGTGCTGATGGCCTGTGTTCATGTTGTGACTGTAGCCTCTTGTAGTTTTGCTGATGTTACTGGGGCTGTTTGTGAGCGGTAGATCAGATTGTGTTATTGGGGCTGGTTGTGAGCGATAGATCAGGTTGTGTTGTTGGGGCTGGGTGTGAGGGTGCTCTGATAGATATAGTTCAACCAACAGTGACCAAAATGACTCTGTTTCTGGCATTCTTTCTCTCTTTGACCACAACCAAGGAGAGCGATTGCAGATAGGTCCTTTCTATGCAACAAAATATTTAAATGAGCATGAAGCTATTTAAATTTCTATCATGCACAGATGATATATCAGTATATTTGTCAGTCATTTTATTAGGTTGAACAGGGATTTGATGTTTTTAATTTAAGACCCACCCACAATTGGTCAGTTATTGAAGTTAATGTTGGCACACGATAATGGAAACAATAATTTTCCATTCGTTCAGATAACTTAAATTTGAGTTAAAAAATACTAAATAAAAATATACAAAACAAAATACAAAAACAAATACAGTAATATATGAAGTTTATCAGACATTTTGAGTAATGCACATACTGACAAAAATCCATTCTACTGTATATTTTAAAATTACTTACTGACCAACATATGACCTCAAGCCCAAAAGACTCTATTCCCGGGCTGAAAGAATCGTTTTAAACAAGTCCGCTCTATGGTGGAATCCTGTTGTGATTAGCATGTGAATCCCGCTGGTCAGATGCGCCGAGAGAGGTCAGGAAGGAAGGAAGGAATTAAGGAAGATAGTGACCCTTGACCTCTGACCCTCTGGTGTCAGACCGTAGCAGACTGGGCAGATGTGGGGTCATCCTAAACTTGAACTTTGCCTAAATATGTATGTGGACGGGCCTGGTTAACCAAATTCTACCAACAAAAAACTTCTGAACTTTTAAATCTCTAATGGGGTAAATGTTGTAACACAAATATAAAATTCAAATATTAAAAGTTTAAAGGGCCCATATTACGCTGTTTTCTGATCTATGTTCCAGTGTTGTTTTCTCATCACAAACATATCTGGAGTTGTGTTTTTTTGTTTCATTCACACATGTTTAACACACAAACCCTGCATAATTAGGCTCAGTTCTTCTCTCAAACGGAAAATGCTTTGCTCCACCTTATCATGTCATGTGGTAATACAGGAAGTGCTCCACTGTGTTTTTAAACTCCATACACTCTCACTAGAATCATTTGGATAGTTTCTGCCCTGGAATTGCCAATCTCTACTGAACTAAAGGTAAAAGGAGCTGTTCAATTGTTGAAACTACCATTTGATGACATCACAAGGTGGAAGAGAGCATTTTGAACTTTGGAATTGTAGACAGACTAATAATAAAGGGTTAGTCAAACTAGGGCTATCGCGATAACGTCAAAAATGAATCACCGCGGTACTAAGAGGCACTGTGGTGCATTTTGGGCCACCATGATCACTGCACGTGACCAATGTGACCCGAGCCTGTGCCCGTGATAACCCAGGACTAACGCAGGACTAACCCTGGACTAACCCTGGTATAACCCTGGACTAACTCTGGAGTAACCCAGGAATAAGGTGCACCCGCGTAGACCGTCAGGTGACCACAAGCAGACCGTAGAGCTCCACGACGTAAGGAGGTAAGTGCAGCCGTTGCCCAATAGCACTTTGTGGACACCCTGCTCTGTGTGCTAGGAGCTCTCTCTCTCTCTCTTAAGTCTGCGTGTACCCGAGCCGGTGCAGGACTCTGACCCGAGATGCCACAGTGAGAGCTGGAGAGATGCAGCGGCACTTGTTCCAAAGCCAAATGTTACTTCTCCCACGCTATACACACACTATATCTAGCGGACAACCAAGGTACATGTGCATCTGCACAACAAGCGCATCATCGGAGTTTTCAAGGCTGCTGGAAATATTATAACTCTGGGGGATGTGGGGTGGAGGAGGGGGTGCGATATCACTGCATACCACGCTGTTGAGCCGCTATACCGCACCACAGGAGAAATTCCCTAACCGCGACAGCCCTAACTCAAACATGTGCGAATGAAACCAAACACAAATCCAGGTTTGTTTTTGAGAAGGCAACAACATTATAACATGCCTTAAAGCTCACAAAATCTGTTTTGTGTTATGTATGAATGTATGACCTTTAAAAAAAAAAAAAAGCATTGTACCAGTTTTCTGCTCTGTCCCCCTCTTCTTGACCACCCCTCTATGCTTCGTTTCACCTCATCCACATAGACCCTTTCTGTTTCTCTATACTTCAAAGCCAGCGTCGGCCATGTTGTGAGGGTAAACGCACTCACCATTCCCATGGGAGATTCGCTGCCCCTGTCTTCTCACCTGGCTCACCTGTCATCGTGGGTCAGTCAGGCGCAGGCTCAGATCTCCCGGTTCAAAGCCCGCCGTCAGAGGGGAGTCAGAGGAGAGCGGGCTGACAGAGGAGCTCCGTGACCTGGGTAATGTGTCCGCTGGTCCTGGTGTGGGGTGAGTGGTACCATACACGAAATTTGGCAGCTTGGAGTAGGCCTAGACAAGTGATAAAGTGATTACTTGCATGCAATTTTTATTTTTATGGACCGTGATTTGCACATTAATTTGACCTAAAACTTGATGATGCCTTACAATTTTGTGAATTTGGTCATCTCTAAAATACACATTGCAAATACTATCGAAAATGGAGCATGAGGCCAGAATAAAGATGAGCTGAATTATCTTTTGTGTGTCCTATAATCTTGTAAATTGTCAAAAAAAGAGTCAAACAATACAGGCATGCCTTTTTGGATTTCTTGCTCTGCTGATTCTGTCTCACTGATAAGAAAACCCTACCCAAACACTATTCAAAGCTGTTTTTTTAATCTCTGTAGTCCCTGTGTCTTTGTTGCTAATCGTATTTTCCAAAACCACTCTTTCTCTTCAGTAGTTTCCACAAAAATCCACCGAAAACGGGATTTATGTGTCCCGTGTTATTCACAGTTAGCTGATCACACCTGTGTCTCTGGATGGAACTGTCAGAAGAGCGTCCAAATGTCTCCCCCAGGCATATTTTTTTACTTTTTCTTTTTTTTTTTTCATTTTTCATATTTGGAAGAAGTGGGCCACCCCGGAGCGAAGTGATTTATGGCCTGCAAGTGTGAAAACCAACACATATAGGCTAATAGATTTCACAGAGCGGCCGGTAAGTTAAGGCAATGTGTACTTTTCATCCAAATATGTTACAAATGTAGAATTGGTCTTTAAAAATGTAATATGTGACTTTTCTGATGGACGGTTTGCAAATGTTGTTACTTAAAGATGCACTATGTAGCTTTTTGGTTGGGGGTCCTTCACCTGCTTGTTTCTATGGATACGTCATTGCTCTGCCTGGAATGTCCCACAGGATGACATTAAACAGCTCTGCCTTACATTTATTCAATTACAAGTGGTTTTAAAGATCAAAAATTCTTAGAAAAACAAATATTCTGACAGTAAGAATCACCTCTCCACAGATCTGACCTGTAACTTGGTCTGGTTTGGTCTCCATGAGGATAGAAATGTTTAATGCCATACTGT